AAGGAGTATATTGTAAGAGGCTGCGGTGTGGAACCCCCTACATTATCATGGATGTGGAACCCCCTACATTATCATGGATGTGGAACCCCCTACATTATCATGGATGTCAACTTTCATTCCTTAAGTTTGACAACATATTGGATAACCATAATTTACAATAAATTACAAATGATATATATACGTATATATTGTGAATTCAACAATCATTATCACTCCCACATCAGTATTGTGCATTCAACAATCATTAACGCTCTCACATCATCATCATCATCATCAACAACAACATGTAAGTTACATAACCCGTAATGACACAAACATATTCTAAATGCCAACAATACATACATAGACATTTATATACATTATATTGATATGTATGTTTTACGTCACTCGTGCCTTATTAACCTCAAATATATATCTAGCAAGTTTACGAAGATCGCTGATATTGTCAACACTTAGTAACTGTACAAGTTTATACATGGAAGGATTTCGCCAGTAATATGGTTTTAAGTATTTAACTCTCAGAATATGGTAATTTCTGCATATCAAAATAAAATGATATTAGTCTTCTTTATCTGAATTGCAGCTCAGTGTCTGTTCTCTCGTTGTGTTATTGTATCTACCAGTCTCAATAGCTAAATTATGTGCAGAAAGACGAAGTTTAGATAAACAGATTCGGTATTTCATAGGAATATACTTTGTCAAATAGTATTGAAGAATATGATGATTTGCTAAGTGCTTATATAAAATACATTTAGGTGAGGCTTCTAATAGCCCTCTCAGATATTGTTGACTTTGATCAAATATTCTTTGCTTTATCATATACAAAATACTTTTATGGTTTTATGAATAGTAATTTGTCCATACATCTGCGAACCCGAGAGAAAAAAAGACAATGTTTGACATAATTAACCCAGTTAAAGCAATTGCCTGTATTGCTATTACTTAAAAAGGAATACGCAGTTTGCAAAATACAATTTTTCGAATCCATTAGTTTTAACCAATATTTTATCATTCTGAATTTTCTTATATATTCCAAAGGATATCGACCTTATTCTAAATACACCATTGCATTGCAAGTCGACTTCTAAACTTTTAAAATCTTCTTATATACATGTAAGTTTAAGTGTAACCTCTCAATATCCGTACCTTTTGTAGATCCCCAAACTTCACATGCATAATGCAATATACTGCAAACATACGTGTCAAATAAATGCAATAACGTTGTACAGTTTAGGCTCAAGTTAGAAGGGCATGCATGGCCTTTCGTCCTTGGTCAAATAACAGTGGTTAAGAACTATATGAGGCACAGATCTATTAAAAGATATGTGAATACGCCCGTGTTTGTTCGTCGTTGATGTTTTATATTGTGGACAGAATAGACTATACCTGAAATCGTTTTGCTTTTTCCCGTCCGTTATAAAATACTTGAGACCATATATTACATTTACAAATTGAGATGTATCTATGAACCTGATAATGTTTCTGTATTGTATATATATCCATAAACACTGCCATAGAAAGCAAATTGCTTTGTACAAAACCTGCAATATAATAATATTTTTTGATATCATTTATACTGCTTAAGAACCGCATGTGATTATTAAGACCAATTGATTTTACGAATGTTGCCGACTTTTCGTATTTCCTTATAGTTAATCCCCTACATATCTATTAGCAGGGTATCTATTGAAAGTAAAAAAATAAATTAAAAAAAATACAGAAATATTTTGCTAAATTTGGAAGCGCTCTGACTGTGACGTGAACGCACTTTTCACTGTTAAGCTAACTTGAGATTTCGTTGGTTTTTTTTAAACTTGGCTTAAAAATGTTAATTCAAGAGGCTTTGTGGTGCCATGTGGTGGCTTTTGGGAACAGTATTTGAGAGTTATTTTTTTCTTTATTAAGGTTTGTATATCGTATTTGTTTCAGAATTTCTGAAAGAAAAAAAGAAGGAGAACTGTTACTAGTATCGCAGAAAATGTAATATATATATAATATAAAATTCCTAATGATAACAGCGATCCCCAGTACCCTGTATTCAGTACACTCTGAATACGTAATGCCAATTTGGTTGGTAGACAATGGTAGTCGTTATCTATTCCGTCTTTGCGTATTGCAGAGTTATCTTCTCTTGTGAGCAGGTATTGATTGTTACGTCATTGGTTTGTGAGAGTAACATCATCAATTTTTGAGAAAACGACGTAATTTTCTCACATAAACCAATGACGTAACAATTAATACCTGCTCACAAGAGAAGACAACTCTGCAATACGCAAAGACGGAATAGACTAATATAATAATTAAAAATAACCGTTTTGAAAACTCCTTAAAACCAATTCATACATATAAATCACTATTTCGAACCACACACAATAAATAGAAGTGAAAAAATGCACTTGAGATTTTTTGATACTAGTATGCAGCTTCGCGACTGCTGGCAAATATTGAATGATATGATACGAACGAAATGTAATGAAAAACTACATATTACAAGACAATGAAGATACACTCATTAATTTTATCCGTGTATGACAATTTTACGAAAATGTTTAAATCAGATATTTATCCCAAAGTATTACACAGGTATGCTGTATGTACATCAAAGACGTATACATTAGCATATACGTCTCTGATATACACATATATAGTATAATTTATCAAAGTACATATCGGAGTTAATTGAATTACGTTAAGAAAGATTTATGAATGTATAGCCACGGACTTAGAAAAAGCTATTTATTTTAATAAATATGAAATGTTTCAGCAAAAAACATTTATGGAACTCCCAATCATATTTTCTGTCCTATACTGCTGCAAAGTTTTACTTTTTACACAATCAACGTATTAAAATACGTTTAATATGTACATTGTTTATTATTTATATATATATTACATGTTTCTAAACTGATACATGTATCTTATTGAAGACATTCACTGTTGAATTTATTGTTGGTATCGCCTAATCACATCACATTAAAACCTATCAATGCACTGAAACTAGATCCGCCTTTCATTGAAAGTGAATAATTCACCTGACACGCGGCACTATTATGAAATAGTCGCCCAATAGCCCATTCAGCTTGCGTGTTCACGGGCGGGATCACTGATAATTATAACGCCTAATTATAAACCAAAAATCGCAAGCGGAGTGATCTGTGTAGTTCTCTCGAACTTTTATATTATACCCAGACATGTCATTATCCCTTCTACGTATGTCAAATGTGGAACAGTTATAATATAAGGCACATTGAGGTTCCCGAACGAGTGATGGTTGGTTATCATGTTTATCTAACTCGAGTTAGTTAGTTAATTTTCAAATTGTATAAAGACACCAGGTTTACCGAGTGTCTTTTACAATTTGAAAATTAACTAGCGAGAGTTTGATAAACATTATAACCTACCATCACGAGTTTGGGGTCCATTTTCTCTCATAACGTTCATATTTTATCTGAAAAGCCATATATTTCCCTTGAACATACACTATGTCGGCTTCCGATTGGGGGAAACAATTGCTGTGAATCATGACGCCACAATGGAAGATGACGTCGCAAAGCATTGTTACGTGACGTCATAAGTGAAAAATTGACCAATAAAATCACGTCCAGGGTTTTACCCACTAGTGGGTAACCAAAAATGCTTACCAACTCCTATATATATATAAGGTTATTTACATGTACTTAATTGCATTTTTGTTTATATATGCAATCAGTTCTTTCATAAGCACATGTATGTATGACATATAATGAATATCTGTAAAGAAGAAATAAAACACCTGTCTGTCTGTCTTTTGTTTACTTTGATAGAGCAACAACTTGATAAATATGTTTAGAATTGTCATAGAGTCAGAGTTTCGGTCCCTTGTACCTGATAGTGGAAATTTGACCCGGACCCGGAAAATATCAGATACTGCCAATGACATAAACCTCGCTATTGACAGTATATTTTTTTCTCCTGGTATTAACTTATATCCTTATAAGATTGTATAATGAACCATTATTAACTTCATTTGCTCACTGAAAATATGTTTCATTTCTACAAAAATGCATTAAAGTCCGATATTTTTTAATAACATTTGAATCGATTAAGTTAGTGAGTAAAGATTTATTTTTAATCTTTCATCACACATACTAAAAACATTTCTTCTTTTATTTACATATCTCTGGAAAGTTTGTTTGCGCCATAGACATTTAGACACGGTTCATATTTAAACTTTACTTGTAGACTTATATACTAAATACATATCTTGAAATACGGAGATGCTGACTTTTTTTAGGTTAGTAGATTTTTTAAGTAGAAAATTGCATGTTTCGAGCATTTTAATTATCAGTTCTATGAAAGATTAGTGACTCTTTAATTTGCATAGGATGGGAAAAAACTGGGGTTTATAATTCCTTTCGTGATTCCTGGTGATACCATATCCGATTTATTATGTTTTGCAGTCAATGAGCACAATGGATTACAACACCTTCATGTTCATTTGGATTACACATTGTGTCATCTCGTGACGGTGATGGTGAGTGCAATATATTACATAACCAAATTAAATATTTGTTTAGTATGATTATGTCACAATTGAATTATAACACAATTAAAATAACCTCTTGTGCCGAGCTTTAAAACTTTGGCGCGGTGCCTCTCAAGAGTTACTCCCCTTCAATTGCATATAGTGCAAAAGCCTGCATAATGTCCAGACTTTGCACTGTACCGTACGACCGACTTAAAATGTTGCATGTAGTAATTTAATTATTAAACAAAATCTTTTAGCGTATTCGTTGGCACGTAAGAACCTCCCTGGTTATTCCTGAGACATTCATTCCTCCCTGGACATGCGCTAAAACTACGAAACAATAATTCATGAAGGTTATTCTCACAGCATTCCTTTTCAATTGGTTTTGAAACTATTGAATTTGTCTAGAAATTTTAAATCGTTAGGATGAGCCAATCGATTCAAACACATGCGAGCTAAAATTTCAATATCACTAGTCAGTGCTCCTGTCAGAAAAACAGCGGTGGTAGTGTACTTACTCGTGCTATGATACATATAGAACGGGTCCGAAAAGTGTGACTTATTCTATCTATAGATGAACAGAGATCAACTCCTCCACATTTCAAGGTAAATAGCCGTTTTATAATTTCCATGTGTGATATGTATTTAATATTTAAGAAAGCAAACCTATGCAGGCAATGCTCGTTTCATTGTTGGGTAATGCTGTTGTTGATAAAACAATAACAGCCATGATCGTAGTACAGTGAATTACGGGGTCGTGTGATACAGTAAGGAAACTCGACTCAGTTGAAGCCTGGTTTTACGTGATATCTGAAATGTAATGTGTTGTATTGTGGTGTTTCTTATTAAATTGTTTGGGTTATGAATTTATTGTATTGTATTGTATTTTACTGTAAAATGGTTCTGATGACGGTAGGCAACCACACAGCGATTTCACTCACTATGTACTTTGTAGGTGTATGACATATTTTCTGATACATCTTTGCGACTATGGGGGCAGTTTGGGGGACTTATGTAATGGTCCCCCATTACAATTACTACTTGCTGTAACTGAGTCTATATGTACTAATTTTATCGTGAAAATACTCAATAGCCAAGATGCATTGTTTCTTTACAGAGACAAGATGATGACGATCAAGACATCGTGCCAAATAGCATGGATGGCTTCATTCCTAATATTGGCCACCTGTCAGCCTCCTCCGATAGTCAGCACTCCCTCTGGTCCCATCAAGGGCGTTATCGTCCCAACTCTTGGACAAGATATGGTGCAGTTTCGGAACATTCCCTATGCTAAACCTCCCGTTGGGAACCTCCGATTTGAAAAGACTGTCCCTGTTGAACCATGGGCAGATACTTTAGACGGCACATTTTTCGGTCCATCATGCATTCAAGACACCCAATATTGGTTTTGGGAAAAGGCGGAAAACAATATTACTACAGAAGACTGTCTGCAACTTAACGTGCATGTACCAGGAGCAGTATCAACAACGGAGAAAAAGCCAGTAATGTTTTGGATTCATGGTGGTAGTTTTCAAATAGGAAACTCCTGGTTCCTTGATCCGTCATTCTTAGTACTCAAAGATGTCATAGTGGTGACCATTAACTACCGTCTCGGAGTATTCGGGTTCCTTAGTACGGGAGATTCTGCCTTACCGGGTAACTATGGACTGTGGGACATGATCGAAGCTCTCAAATGGGTAAATAAAAATATAGCATCATTTGGCGGCGATCCTGAGTCTGTTACTATTTTCGGTGAATCGGCAGGAGGTTTTGCTGTATCCTACCTAGCAGTTATTCCAAGTAATGAAGGGTTATTCAAACGTATTATTCCACAAAGTGGAACTGCAATAGGCGAATTGTGGAAAGTAAGGAATCCATTTAGAGTTGCTAAGAAAGTTGGAAGCCATGTTGGTTGCATCACGAAGAATGACTCGATAATTAACAAGGATGCTCTTGTAGCATGTTTGAAAGAAAAGTCTTCAGACGATTTATTCAAAGCTCAGAGCGACCCCAGTACATTTAACTTTGGTGGAATATCCGTAGCTCCTGTGCTTTGGCCAAATGTGGACGGAGAATTGCTCCGTAGGAATCCGTACGAAAGCTTGGAGGACTTGACCTCAAAAGAATCGATTTTCTTTCGGTCTCTTGATGTGATGACAGGAACAACGGATAACGAAGGTTCCGTTTTTCCATATATAGCGATGCCGTTACAAGAATCCAAGAACTTTAATTTGTCTGACGGTGTTCCTACTGCTGTCTTGTGTGATGATTTAGCCCCACTATTTGCCAGAGATGCATTTAACGATGAAACCGTCGTGCCGGAAATGCTCTGTAAAGGTTATGGAGAGGATAACATGGAGGAACAAGCCAGAAGCGCGAGCAATTTATATGCTGATACTGCGTTTATTGCTCCAACAGTGCAATTTCTTGGTTTCCATTCGAGGGGAAAAGCGATTTCTAACGCTTACCAGTATCTGTTTACGAAAGCCATTTCGTTTCACTTTTTAGTTCCAAGTTTTCCCTGGAGTAGGGGTTCTGCACATGGAGTGGACATGCTCTACCTGTTTGGTCCAGGAACAATGAACCAGTTCGACGACTCCTTATCCAGTCCTGAAGGACGAGAGATAACCGAAATTCTCACCAGATATTGGACAAACTTTGCCAAAACAGGGTAGGTCATTTGTATTTTTTCTGTTGTATTTAAATGTCTGATTTGTTATATTGTTATATGTGTAACAGGAAAGAGAATAGTGTGCTTCTACCGGGGATCGAACCTTCGATCTCCAGGTTCCTAGTCGGACGCTCTACCACTGAGGTAAAGGGGAATTCCTTCTAGCTCGAAGCTAGTAGGCGACCTTAATCCTATGAGCAATTAAAGTCTACCACATATGTATCAAACTGGGGTCACACATTATTAAACGGTAACATATTGTACATAATATACAATTGTGTATGAGTGTATTGTATTTGGTCATCTTGGGGTACATTTACGAATATTTACACTCTGCATTGACATTTATTCAATAACATGCAAACTTGAAGAACGTGACAATTTTTTATGACGTCGACAACACTACATGTGAGCGGAGTTATGCAAATTTTCTGCAAACAAGACACAATTGTGTGACGTAATCAACAGTACACATGGGCGGAGCTAATCAAAGATGCAGATTAAGGCTGTTACTTGCATTGAACCGACCACAAGTTATTATATATTTTAATACGAAATTCGTTTCCACTGATCAGAGTAAAGAATGAAATAGTTATGAAGCATTCACATTACTATACTGTAAATGTAAGGAATAGTTTTCTATTTTCGGCATCTGTGATAAATTTACTCCTGCTTCACTGGAGTTATCGCCTTATAACCTGATCTCCATCTGTGATATATTTCCTCCTGCTTCACTGGAGTTATCGCCTTATAACCTGATCTCCATCTGTGATAAATTTACTCGTGCTTCACTGGAGTTATCGCCTTATCACCTGATCTCCATCTGTGATATATTTACTCCTGCTTCACTGGAGTTATCGCCTTATAACCTGATCTCCATCTGTGATAAATTTACTCCTGCTTCACTGGAGTAATCGCCTTATAACCTGATCTCCATCTGTGATAAATTTACTCGTGCTTAACTGGAGTTATCGCCTTATAACATGATCTCTATCTGTGATAAATTTACTCCTGCTTCATTGGAGTTATCGCCTTATAACCTGGTGACTCGACTGTAAATCAGCTTTTATCTATGTATCACATAATGGTTAGTAATTTAGATAGGGGTAAAGAAGTGCGATTTGTATTTTGTGATGTGAGCAAAGCTATCGATCGAGTATGGCAGGATGGTCTTATATTCAAACTAGAGTCATATGGAATAAAAGGAAATTGTTATCTTGGTTCAAAGACTATTTATTTGAAAGAAAACAGAGAGTGTTTACAGAGGGCCACTATTCAAATTTTACTAATGTTAATTTTACTAATGTTAATGCTGGAGTTCCTCAGGGATCAATTCTTGGGCCTTTTTTTATTCTTACTGTACATTAATGATATAACAGATCAAGTTAATAATAATATTAAATTATTTGCTGATGATACTTCCTTATACATAATTATTGATAATAATCCAATACAAGCAGCAGAAAGTCTAACAAATGATCTTCAGAATATAAGTACATGGGCAGAAAAGTAGGACTTGAAATTTAATGCTGCAAAAACTGAAACTGTTATTTTTACTAGGAAAAAAGAACCAAATCACCCACCTATTTCTTTCTTGAATGAACCACTAACTAACAATAGATTTCACAATCATCTTGGTCTTACTTTCACTGAAGATGGTAAATGGGCTGAACACATACAAAAAGCATATGATAAGGCATATACAAGAATACACATTCTTAGAAGTCTAAATAATTCTGTAAATAAAAAATCACTTATTATAATGTATACCTCTTATATCAGGCCAATCTTAGAATATGCAAGTGTAGTATGGGACATTGTACAGAACAGGAAAACACACTTCTCGAATCAGTCCAATTAGATGCAGCCAGGATAATTACAGGATTACGTCGAGGAACGTCTCACGTGAAACTTTATGAAGAATAAGAATGGGAAACATTATCTGAAAGAAGAAATAAACAAAAATAATTTTAATGTATAGAATTCTGCATAATGACTCCCCATCTTACTTATTGAATATCATAGATCCATTTATTAATGATATTTCAAGTAAAAGATATGAGTTAAGGGGAAATAGAATTTTTAATCCGCCTCTCTGTCGAACAGATCATTAGTTGAACAGTTATTTATCTACTATTACGAACTCCCAGTCCCTATCTCAGTTTAAAAAACACATAAAAGAAATTAACAAACCTCATAATGATGTAACCCTCATATCTAAATATTCAGGATGCAGAAAAAATAATATTATTTTATGCCAACTACGAAATAATGCCAGTAACTTGAACTTTGACCTTTATGATGATCACTTGTATGAATAACCTACTTGTGATTGCAGACAGGATCAAGAAACCCCCGGGTACCACTACTTTTTTGAATGTCAAAATTTCAATAACCAAAGACATGTGCTGATGAACTCCTTACCGAATGATGATCATATGCATAACAATATAATGTCTTACTCAATGGTTGTTCACAATGTAGTGATGATGTTAATGCTACTATGCTTGAAAAAGTATCAGTCTTAACACTGATACAAAGAGATTCTTTAACCACCATTAGTTGGTACTGTACTGTGCATAACAAAATTCATCATGCTTGTAAGTCTTTCTATAAAAAATAATTCTTACTTTATAAATTTGTAAACTTAATTGATGAATGTAGGTGGTTGGATGATGATGAAAAAAATGATGACTTCTGCTGAAAATATTTAACTATATACATTGTATTACCAAAAATCTCCTAGTTTTGCATGGCTAGGATCCAAGGTCTGCTGGGGTGAATGACCTAAGCCAGTGTATGGCTAAGGTTTTTGTATGGTCAGAATTCCTAGTAGCTTGTGGATCTCTTGCTGTCTAATATTGGGGGGAATCCTTGGTCTCAATAAATGAGGCTTATTTTTTATTTTATTTAATTAGATTTTTTTCTGTGGGAGTTACTCCCCTTGCATCACTTTTCTGTGACTACTTCATGTAACATTTCTCTATCTTTCCTTCTCTCTCTATATATATAGTTTATATTTGTTTGTAATTCAAGCTAGGAGAGGACATATATAGGCATAGCGCTTTGCAAAGTTAGATAAACATGATAACCAACTATCAATCGCTGGGGAACCTCTATTTCCACAATTAACCTGTTTTATCTTTAAACAGACATATTTTTCTATTATTTCAGAAATCCAAATAGCGAGGACCTTGTGGAATGGAAGTCGTACAATCCAAGTGGACGCTACTACATGAATTTAAATTTGAAACCTTTTATGGATCAGGATGTTTACGCAAAGCGGATGAAGTTGCTAATTGAGGATATTCCTAAAAAGCTCAAGCATAGTGCTAAAACGGAATTGTAGATAATACAGATTAGTACTTTTGAGCATTTTAAAGTATAGAAATAAACGAATTAAATCAACTGTTTGTGTATTTGACAGCAATGTTGTGCTTGTTAAAGTGTGGGCGTGAATTATCCATCATATTGCTTCATATAGCTGGTCACTTTACGTGTAAACATGTGTTATCAACTTATCAATCCTTTGAACATATGCTTAAATGCAATAATTAAAAGTTTAGAAATGTCTAATCCTTAGCTCAGAATAACGTGTTTTTTTAAAGTGAACGATTTACTTCTCGTGTGTTATAAAGTTCCCTTTGTTATATTATTTTATTAACTTTGTTTTCATTTGTCTTGTGTTTTGAAGTTGTAAATAAATCATAGGTATAGGGGAAGAACAACTTTTCAAATTTGTTCATCTTATTTAATTTCAAAATTGTTTCAGGAGACGTTTTTGTTAGAAATATATTTGTTTGCTGCAGCAACCCGTATTGAACACGAAAGGCATTGAACATAGGATAACAAATATAACTTACTCCAAAAACTCATATTCCATAATCAGCTCCCTTTCGAATTATTCCTCTGCAGAAGTAGTCTAGTCTACTAGTATATACAATGTACGTTTATATCTGAAGCTTTCGTTTGTTTTAAATATGTAATCATCAGCAGGAACAATGAAACCAGTTTGAACAAACTAGCCGGAATGATGGCTTGTTTTCAAACCGTTTAAGCAGTTTAATGTAACTGTGAAATACTTACTGAAGGTTCTCGGTTGCGTATGATAGCCGCACCTAAAAAAAATGTTCCTCATCTTCTAGAACAAGACATTTTTCTTATTCTACCACATGCTAATCCCTCTTCCAGCATTTCAACATTAATCTATGTTTCTGAAATTAGGAATTAGAAAATTGAAATTAAAACACAGAAACAACCGGATAATTCCTATTCGATGATTTCAGTATAATGCAATGCAGGTAAATTGAACCGTATGACAAATATAACCAAAATGGGTCATAATTCAGGTCGTTAATGCTAGTCTCTACAGGTTAACAGGATCAACGACTCGCTGATTTAATATAGGGCACCGAATTTATCACTCGTTACGAAATCTCCTTGTCTTTTTGTTGCCATTATGTTTATATGTTGTACAAGTATGACAGCCGAAAAAACATGGTACAGAAATGCATGTAACCCCTGGATTGTTTGAAGATCACATTATATACGTGAACAAACAAATACTTTACAAAAAGAAAGGTTCAAAGACTATATATGTCTTCAGATTCACTTCGTCAAAAAAGGATAAATAGAATCGTATGTATGTATATCATTTGTACAAATAAACTGTGTCTATAATACAAAATGTAGTAATTTGTATTTAACGTTGTATACATAGTCAACAACACACATAAGCTTTGAGCTTTGATTACGACGCCGCTGAGAAAACAGATGGTGTTTTTCGTGGTGGAGGAAAACCCACGGGGGAAAAACACCATACCAACTAACCCTATCGGACATCACTCTCTTTTTCCGCCATCGCTTGGATCGAACCGAAGTTCTTGAGAGAGTGAATGGTCTGAAGCTCACGCTTGATTGCTCGCAGAAGAAACGATCACGGCTACCGAGACACCCCTAGTGTCTATTATTGTATCCCATGGCATGTACGTATGAGGAGACTTGTATCGGGGTTTATATTTGCGTCTTTTGTTTATTGGCATTGTAGAAACCAGAACTGAACTGTTGATCTTCTCCATCCCTTGCTATGGACCAACTACAACACCCTGATGCATTAAATTGTCTCTCACTTTTTATTATTTCATACGGTATTTTATCATAACCTCCCTTGGATCTCATAAAGAACAACCGATAAGGTATTGCCCGATAGTGCGGAAAAGCTGTGGCCAAAAACCCGTAGCGAACACGAAGTTTGATGACTAATCAAAGGTCATTGAAAACCATAGTTTGGTTGCTATGAAAACGGCCAGAAGTCGGCAAGAATTGGGAGTCGCATCACTTAGGTTTAACTTACAAGCCAATTGTAAATAAGGTTAAGGGGGACCCTCTGTTTACTTACTAGACTGCTGTCAGGACAAAGGGGTTACAGGAGGTCAAAATGTCAGGATGGCTGATCAAAGAAATAAGACGAAAGATCCCTGCCCTTTCTGTACCCATAACGTACAATCAAAGGAGAGGTTCTGTGATAAGACTGTCTAGATCCCATGTGTCCATTCAGGGGTCCATAATACCTTCTAAACTATATGTACGTTCTGCTGAAATGTATAAACCTAATAAGAATCAAATGAAAGACAGACACACTTAGTCTATATGCTGTACAATGTTGAACATTATAATATATTTCTTTATTTTATTCTTTAAAGCTGCTGGTATTATCAAGCTTAATGCAAAAATACGATTTAGAAGTGCAGTACTGTTGAAGTACGTGTACCGAGTAGTGATTTGTGGATGTGAACATATAGGACAGGTTAAAATTGAAGACGTTCTCATCGGCCTTTTTGAAGCAGGATATAGTTCGACAGCACACTCGAAAAAGGAACACACACAACATATCTGATACAACAGCGATTTCAATGATAATAAAACTAATACTTAATTTATTTAAAAATAATAACAAACCAAACAAAACAACATCAAGTTGAAGCATCATGAAGTTTTAAGGTAAGAAGTATTTATATGCAACAATATATCAGCACCAACTTAATAAAAAAAAAAAAAAAAATAACTGATATGACATAATGCACATTATTTCGTTATGTTGTATGTGCAAATACACAGGGTGGTAAAATGGTCACTTCCACATTGCTATAACATTGTAGGCTATAGTGTATCGTTGTTTTGTCAATAGTTTTTGTTGATATTGCGAAATCACCTAGACTACTCGACCTGTACCCCATGCAGTGGTATCAGGCGATAGGCCGTTGCATACACCGAACGCTCAGCAAATATGTTTTTTCAATTCAATTCAAGCTTATTCCGGGGGCCTTACGACCCGTAGTCATACATAAATATAATACATAATATTACATACACATTTGGAGAGTGATCTCTCATGACATGCATACAGAACACAGAAAGTAACATATATACATGTCTGTATACGATACACAAACAACATACTGACAGAGACGAGAGGTAACTCCGCGGCAATGTTATCTTGATTGCGATTACATAAATGCCGAGTCAATCTACCAATTATTACTAAGTTTAATGAATATACATTAATAGCAATAATACTTGTATAATACAGACCGACAGACACACACAGACAGACAGACACACACACACAAACACACACAGAAGTATAAGTAATAATTGTTTTTCAGTATAGGCATGCTTTTCTTTGCATTCGAAATGATACATGAAATACATATGAAAGGTGTTTAACGATAACATTCGCTTTTAGTCAAAGTATGTTTTTCTTTACTTAACGGCAGAATGCTAAGGTATACATGGTTACCTATTGCATACGTATTTGGAGAGTGATCTCGCATGACAAGCATACCGAACACAGAGAGTAACATAAAAATGTATGTATAAAATACATCATAAACATAATAGTACAAGAAAAAATAACTTAAGTTAAATTTAACTTAACAGACACATACTGACAGAGATGCGCCAATGTTACCTTGAATGGGATTACATTAGTGCTGAGTCAATCTACCACTTATGTACCACTTATTGATTAAGTTTAATATTAAATATATGTTGTACAACATCAGCAATCATACTTCTATTATACAGACAGACAGAAGTAAACGTAATAATTCGTTTTCATCGATGACATGCTTTTCTTAGAATTCGAAATATACCTGAAATACATATGTGAGGTATATAACGATAATATTCACTTTTAGCCAAAGAGCGTTTTTCTTTTCTTAAAGGCAAAATGAATATATTTTCCAAGATTATTTAGTTCCTTAACATTATTTATACTTAACAGTTGCACAAGTTTGAAACGCTAGGAGATTTATAATAATACCTTTAAATATACGTTAGTCTAATTTCTATATAAAATGGACATTGCAGTATAAAATGGAACTCATCTTCAATTTCAAAACTTTGTCAACATTCACATATTCTGCGTCTCCTATCAATGTTGTGATAGCGGCCATTTTCAATTTTTAACTGGTGTGATGACAATCTAATATTGGCTATAGATTTTTTATGTATATTATCAATAGGTTTCAGTAAATAATATTGCATGCAAAAATGATCAATTAGATGTTTATATAGGTCACCTCTGGCAGCATTTATAATTCTTGCTCTCATTTCCTGGGTGTAACAATCTTTAAATCGTTGCTCTATTACTTTGTACATATTACCATTTATAGTATCACTAGTCCAAAAGTAAGATTAACCAAGTTTATCTAGTTCTTGTTTAATATTGTTTATCCAATCATCATTCATTATTAATCGCTCTTCTAAACATGTGGCCAATATAGAATTTTTGGTTTGGATTCTTTTAATTTTAACCAGTATTTTATAACTTTTAACTTTCTATTTATGTAACGTGACTGTCTACCAAGCTCGTAATATACAAAATCAGTACCTGTACTTTTTTTGACACCAAGCAATCGTTTACAAAACCCAGAATTGAGCTTTTCTATCTCTGGTGCTTTATGAAAGCCCCATATCTCGCTTCCATACTCGAGTATGCTGTTGACATATGTATCAAACACTGAACATTTTGTACTAATATTGAAATTATTTTTCTTCAATTTACTAATAATTGCAAATAAAGCTTTTCTTCCCTGGTTAGCAATCTGTTTCTGAGTAACATTGAACTTTCCGTTAAAATTCATCAACATTCCCAAATAATTAAATTCATTAACTATATCGACTTCCTACTTGTGATAGGTCCATTTTTCAGCATCTCTTATGTTCCCCCCATTTCGAAAGATAACAATCTTGGTTTTGGAGATATTGAGTTTTGACTTCCATTCTAGGTTATATACATATAATGAATCTAAAAGTTTCTGCAATGCTTCTGGTGTCTCCGCAATCAATACAGTGTCATCGGCATACAAAAGTAAAAACAAGTTTAAGAGACCTATTTCAATAGATGGACAATTTTCAGTGATAAATTTCATTTCGCAATCATTTACATAGAGGCTGTATAGAATCGGTGACAGAATTTCTCCCTGGAACAAACCGATTTTGTTTGGGTAGTATTCTGATAACAAACCATTAAACTTTATACATGATTTTACATTTTTATATAGCGGTTGAATAATTTTCAACATTTTCCCTTTGATTCCATGTTTTATGAGTTTAGACCGCAAACAACTTCTTTCAATCAAATCGAATGCTTTTGTGTAATCTATAAAGCAACAGTATAGTCTCTTTTTCGCTTTTAATGTTTTATTAATTAAGGTTTGTAATGCGAAAATGGCATCTACCGTCGAAAAACCATGACTAATTGCCAATCGCTGGTCACATTCTGTAAAACAAATATTAAGTCTAAGCAGATTTTATTGCATATTACAACAATAGTATTAGGCGCAAGTTATCACAACTTATTTATACCTTTTCCCGATTGAATTACAAAACAATGCATGATAACGCAATAGTCTAGCCGAAAATATAATTGACACATTTAATAAAATTAAAAGTTGAAGTGCTTGAAAGTAGGAGGTAAAATATTTTAGTAGATGGTTTTAGTATAGTCATATACACATATATAGATAATAATTTACAATTTGAACACATATTGCAAATTCATTCAATATTTGTTAATGTATTAGGGAAAGGGGTGGGAGGAGAGGGAGAGCTTACAGTGTTTAGTGGATTTTTGCATTGCCACACATCTATTGACCATGTTCCTGTTTGTTACCAGCAAATATTATAATGGTCAAGCTGATAACCATTAAATATGCATGAATTTATGATAATCAAATCAAAGTATACAGTAAAAGACATACATTCCATACACGAGACATGGGTTTTATACAAGGGACCTGGATTCCATACACGAGACATGGGTTTTATACAAGCGACCTGGATTCCATACACGGGACATGGGTTTTATACAAGGGACCTGGATTCCATACACGGGACATGGGTTTTATACAAGGGACCTGGATTCCATACACGGGACATGGGTTTTATACAAGGGACCTGGATTCCATACACGGGACATGGGTTTTATACAAGGGACCTGGATTCCATACACGGGACATGGGTTTTATACAAGGGACCTGGATTCCATACACGGGACATGGGTTTTATACAAGGGACCTGGATTCCATACACGGGACATGGGTTTTATACAAGGGACCTGGATTCCATACACGGGACATGGGTTTTATACAAGGGACCTGGATTCCATACACGGGACATGGGTTTTATACAAGGGACCTGGATTCCATACACGGGACATGGGTTTTATACAAGGGACCTGGATTCCATACACGGGACATGGGTTTTATACAAGGGACCTGGATTCCATACACGGGACATGGGTTTTATACAAGGGACCTGGATTCCATACACGGGACATGGGTTTTATACAAGGGACCTGGATTCCATACACGGGACATGGGTTTTATACAAGGGACCTGGATTCCATACACGGGACATGGGTTTTATACAAGGGACCTGGATTCCATACACGGGACATGGGTTTTATACAAGGGACCTGGATTCCATACACGGGACATGGGTTTTATACAAGGGACCTGGATTCCATACACGGGACATGGGTTTTATACAAGGGACCTGGATTCCATACACGGGACATGGGTTTTATACAAGGGACCTGGATTCCATACACGGGACATGGGTTTTATACAAGGGACCTGGATTCCATACACGGGACATGGGTTTTATACAAGGGACCTGGATTCCATACACGGGACATGGGTTTTATACAAGGGACCTGGATTCCATACACGGGACATGGGTTTTATACAAGGGACCTGGATTCCATACACGGGACATGGGTTTTATACAAGGGACCTGGATTCCATACACGGGACATGGGTTTTATACAAGGGACCTGGATTCCATACACGGGACATGGGTTTTATACAAGGGACCTGGATTCCATACACGGGACATGGGTTTTATACAAGGGACCTGGATTCCATACACGGGACATGGGTTTTATACAAGGGACCTGGATTCCATACACGGGACATGGGTTTTATACAAGGGACCTGGATTCCATACACGGGACATGGGTTTTATACAAGGGACCTGGATTCCATACACGGGACATGGGTTTTATACAAGGGACCTGGATTCCATACACGGGACATGGGTTTTATACAAGGGACCTGGATTCCATACACGGGACATGGGTTTTATACAAGGGACCTGGATTCCATACACGGGACATGGGTTTTATACAAGGGACCTGGATTCCATACACGGGACATGGGTTTTATACAAGGGACCTGGATTCCATACACGGGACATGGGTTTTATACAAGGGACCTGGATTCCATACACGGGACATGGGTTTTATACAAGGGACCTGGATTCCATACACGGGACATGGGTTTTATACAAGGGACCTGGATTCCATACACGGGACATGGGTTTTATACAAGGGACCTGGATTCCATACACGGGACATGGGTTTTATACAAGGGACCTGGATTCCATACACGGGACATGGGTTTTATACAAGGGACCTGGATTCCATACACGGGACATGGGTTTTATACAAGGGACCTGGATTCCATACACGGGACATGGGTTTTATACAAGGGACCTGGATTCCATACACGGGACATGGGTTTTATACAAGGGACCTGGATTCCATACACGGGACATGGGTTTTATACAAGGGACCTGGATTCCATACACGGGACATGGGTTTTATACAAGGGACCTGGATTCCATACACGGGACATGGGTTTTATACAAGGGACCTGGATTCCATACACGGGACATGGGTTTTATACAAGGGACCTGGATTCCATACACGGGACATGGGTTTTATACAAGGGACCTGGATTCCATACACGGGACATGGGTTTTATACAAGGGACCTGGATTCCATACACGGGACATGGGTTTTATACAAGGGACCTGGATTCCATACACGGGACATGGGTTTTATACAAGGGACCTGGATTCCATACACGGGACATGGGTTTTATACAAGGGACCTGGATTCCATACACGGGACATGGGTTTTATACAAGGGACCTGGATTCCATACACGGGACATGGGTTTTATACAAGGGACCTGGATTCCATACACGGGACATGGGTTTTATACAAGGGACCTGGATTCCATACACGGGACATGGGTTTTATACAAGGGACCTGGATTCCATACACGGGACATGGGTTTTATACAAGGGACCTGGATTCCATACACGGGACATGGGTTTTATACAAGGGACCTGGATTCCATACACGGGACATGGGTTTTATACAAGGGACCTGGATTCCATACACGGGACATGGGTTTTATACAAGGGACCTGGATTCCATACACGGGACATGGGTTTTATACAAGGGACCTGGATTCCATACACGGGACATGGGTTTTATACAAGGGACCTGGATTCCATACACGGGACATGGGTTTTATACAAGGGACCTGGATTCCATACACGGGACATGGGTTTTATACAAGGGACCTGGATTCCATACACGGGACATGGGTTTTATACAAGGGACCTGGATTCCATACACGGGACATGGGTTTTATACAAGGGACCTGGATTCCATACACGGGACATGGGTTTTATACAAGGGACCTGGATTCCATACACGGGACATGGGTTTTATACAAGGGACCTGGATTCCATACACGGGACATGGGTTTTATACAAGGGACCTGGATTCCATACACGGGACATGGGTTTTATACAAGGGACCTGGATTCCATACACGGGACATGGGTTTTATACAAGGGACCTGGATTCCATACACGGGACATGGGTTTTATACAAGGGACCTGGATTCCATACACGGGACATGGGTTTTATACAAGGGACCTGGATTCCATACACGGGACATGGGTTTTATACAAGGGACCTGGATTCCATACACGGGACATGGGTTTTATACAAGGGACCTGGATTCCATACACGGGACATGGGTTTTATACAAGGGACCTGGATTCCATACACGGGACATGGGTTTTATACAAGGGACCTGGATTCCATACACGGGACATGGGTTTTATACAAGGGACCTGGATTCCATACACGGGACATGGGTTTTATACAAGGGACCTGGATTCCATACACGGGACATGGGTTTTATACAAGGGACCTGGATTCCATACACGGGACATGGGTTTTATACAAGGGACCTGGATTCCATACACGGGACATGGGTTTTATACAAGGGACCTGGATTCCATACACGGGACATGGGTTTTATACAAGGGACCTGGATTCCATACACGGGACATGGGTTTTATACAAGGGACCTGGATTCCATACACGGGACATGGGTTTTATACAAGGGACCTGGATTCCATACACGGGACATGGGTTTTATACAAGGGACCTGGATTCCATACACGGGACATGGGTTTTATACAAGGGACCTGGATTCCATACACGGGACATGGGTTTTATACAAGGGACCTGGATTCCATACACGGGACATGGGTTTTATACAAGGGACCTGGATTCCATACACGGGACATGGGTTTTATACAAGGGACCTGGATTCCATACACGGGACATGGGTTTTATACAAGGGACCTGGATTCCATACACGGGACATGGGTTTTATACAAGGGACCTGGATTCCATACACGGGACATGGGTTTTATACAAGGGACCTGGATTCCATACACGGGACATGGGTTTTATACAAGGGACCTGGATTCCATACACGGGACATGGGTTTTATACAAGGGACCTGGATTCCATACACGGGACATGGGTTTTATACAAGGGACCTGGATTCCATACACGGGACATGGGTTTTATACAAGGGACCTGGATTCATTACACGGGACATGGGTTTTATACAGGGGACCTGGATTCCATACACGGGACATGGGTTTTATACAAGGGACCTGGATTCATTAAACGGGACATGGGTTTTATACAGGGGACCTGGATTCCATACACGGGACATGGGTTTTATACAAGGGACCTGGATTCCATACACGGGACATAGGTTTTTAAACACGGGAAATGGGTTCCATATACGGGACCTGGATTCCATACACGGGATATAGGTTCCATACACGAGACCTAGATTCCATACGGGGGACATGGGTTCCACACACAGAACCTGGGTTCCACACACGGGACCTGGATTCCACACTCGGAACAGGTGTTCCACACACGGGACATGGGTTCCACACACGGGTCATGTGGTCCATACACGGGACATGGGTTCTATACACGGGATCTGGATTCCATACACGGGACAAAGGTTTTTTAACACGGGATTTGGGTTAAAATCTAAATACCTAAAAGTGCAACAATAGCTCGAAATTGATGAAAATAATAATAAAAAAAAAATCCTTCCTTTAATAAGGAAATTAACATAATCTGATTTTGTTTTCCTCTTGTTTAATCGTTAACCGATTTACACAGCCATTATTACTTTACCGTCTATTTGATAATTATTATGTATTGGCGTTATGCTATACTGTCATGCCTCATTTCGATGGGTTTTATATGCCTGGAATTCATGTCCAATTGTTGATCAAAACTTGTTAAAGTAATGGCTAACATTAATTTGTACGTTTTGTAATTATTTGTTAGTGTAATAGGATGGAGGAAACCATGCTGAACACCGTCCTCATATCAATATGGCTGTTGCAATGACGTGAAATCCCAAACAAACAAACCATGACGACACCATTCATTACATACAAAACCTAACGGCTTGTTGATGACATAATAGATAGCAGTTAAAATCTAGGTATAATATGGTGATATCGTCTACTCAGTGCAGCGCCAATGAAAAAAACCCGAATGCACGGAGAATCTAGGCCTGAAATGGCAAAGAGGCAGTGAGCGTCTTAGCTGTAATTAATATGGTATTCATTTTTTTTTGGGGGGGGGGGGGAATGAATTAAATTTATTTCGAACGAAATTAAGAACATAATCGTTAATAAAAAAAATACTATGTCATCACCTGCTGGCTATCATTTGAAGGTCTTTTTAAATATAGGTGAAAAACAGTTTTCAGTATAGTAGTCTGTACCGATTTGTGAATCAACTTTTATTTAGTTCAGGCAATGGGTACTGACCTACTTTATAAAAAACACTTGAAGCACTGTAGTACCAGGTACCAAGTTGTCTATGAATATCAATGGGTACTGCACGAGTACTCGTTACAGTACCTAATTACATACGTATCACACGGTACCGTGTTGTGACTGTAACCTTGAATTGGGTCATAATGTACAAAACCACTGCGGTTGAAGTGAACAGTGGTCAACGGACGTTGTGAATCTAACCCCCTTACCGGGTAAGTATGTATGTGGGTTATCACAAAAATACGTTATCATACAAACTCTGTGTACATAGTGTATATAGTTACGTGAACACAAGTTTTTTTGTAGATTATCAACATATTTACTACAGTACTGACGTTATGGTCATGTATATTATATGCGAACGTGACAGTGCATGTCTAGCTTGTCGGTAAGGGGAAATCCCCTTCAGGTCATTTGGTAGGACGACCTACTGGGAAGTCGGGGTTGGAGGTTCGATCTGTGAAAATTTAGCAAATTTAAATAATTTCCATATTTCGCCGGGAAACTGGTTTTGCCTTTTCTATTTAGACACGCGATATGTAGTATAACCATGCATGGTTTCAGAGGCGTGTATGTTACGTCTCTGACGGTATACATTTGTATTAAGAATACAGTCTGGCTGAAAAAAAGCACGTTAACATTGTAATAGGTACCTAAAATAAAGTACAGTAATCAGATAACATTCCTTCATAACTATTGCAATAGATCCTCTGGAATTCGTTTCCTATTGTTATCTCCTAGTACAAACCATACTCTTAGGTTGACTTATTTCTAACAAGTTTGTTTATTAGGAACAAAATAAACATGTTAATGTTATATGTTTTCTTTTCAATCGTCATTGCAAATCAATATACACCAAACTAATAATTTACTGTCGATTATATCAATAGACATTATCAACATCTACGTACTCAATTCCACTCGCTGACCCAGTGTTGAGTTCGACCATGTCAAGACTTTAAAAAAAAATCGAAATCTTTTGTTGTCCCATGGCGCAATATATTGATTATGCTCAGCACTAGTTTTTGCTAGTTTTTAAAATGTCATACATGTATAACTTAAACAACCCTTAACATTTCTAAACAAATGAAGACTTTCTAGGCAATAGGATTTGTGTTAACACAACTGCCTATCATCAGTGGAAGTTAAAGTTTATTTACATCACAATTCTAATTTCACAAACTGTTGTTGATATTTTAATCATCGAAAACTTTGAAACTCTTGACTGTTAAAACACATAAATATTAAATTTAATTTTACAGCTTCTCTGAATCGATGTAGAACACGATAAAATGGCTTTGGTTCTAAATCTGATGTATCTAGTCTACATTTAAACATGTACAGATTCGTTTGAGTGGTTGACACATACTTGGGTAGTCGAGAAAACGAGTCGGCTAGATATTGATATATACCTGCCAAACGGTATGATGCTATGTTCTCTATATAGTTATTTATTAGAAGAACGATTAGAAAGCTGTCGATATGACAGAAAACAGGATTTTAATATCTATAACAAAGTCACAAGGCATTTCGTGTAAATGTTTGTTGTGAAATATAGACACTTGTTATACTTTATCACATGAAATAACAAATAGTATGGATGATTTTCTCTTGAACAATATAATTCGAACAGGAATTTGTAGATGATCAAACGGAGGTGAAATTTCATGTGTAGATTGTGATTCCCTTTCTTCGAGAATAAAGGCAAATGTAAATGTAAAACCGGACAAAGACGTCGATGGCACTTCTCATGGAAATCTTGAAAATGATGATGATTTCGACAAAATGAAAATTAATTCAGGTTATGCGTAATTCAGCTTCATTTTTTATTACAGAGGACACGATGAGACAGCGTTCACTGCTGTGTTTGTTCTTTCTGTCTACCGTGATAGTACCTGCGTCATGTCAGTCCTTCCCAATAGTCAACACTCCTTCCGGTCCCGTCAAGGGCGTGGTGGTGCCGGTGAATGGACAGGATATAGTACAGTTCCGGAATATTCCGTTCGCCCAACCTCCAGTAGGAAACCTCAGATTTGAGAAACCAGTCCCGGTAGAACCTTGGAAAGACACACTTGATGGAACTGCGTTTGGACCTTCTTGTATGCAGGATAAATTCCTATTTCCAGAGTTGTGGGAAAAGGCAGAAAAAGCTGTAGTAGACGAGGATTGTTTGCAACTAAACGTCTATGTTCCTGGAGCTGTATCAACTACAGTGAAAAAACCTGTTATGGTTTGGATCTACGGTGGGGCCTTCTCAATGGGAAGTACTTTTACATATGACGGGTCTTTCCTGGCACTTAAAGACGTTCTAGTGGTAACGATCAACTATCGTCTCGGAATTCTCGGGTTCTTAAGCACAGAAGATTCCGCCATGCCTGGTAACTATGGACTTTGGGACATGATCGAGGCACTGGAGTGGGTTAATAAGAACATTGCATCATTCGGAGGAGATCCTGAATCGGTGACCATTTTTGGTGAATCGGCTGGAGGCTTCGCTGCGTCATACCTGGCTGTGATTCCAAGTACTGCAGGTCTATTCCAACGTTTCATTGCCCAAAGTGGATCGGCTGTAGGATTCATGGGCATAGCACCGAATCCTGCCAGAGCTGCAAAAGCTACGGGGAAATTCGTTGGATGCCTACCGGACATAGACGGAGACGTCAACAGCAGGGCTCTTACAGACTGTCTCAAGCAAATACCAGTCGAGGAATTAATGGATGCTCAGAGAGATCCAGGGACACAATTTTTCGGCTCTTTCTCTGTATCACCCTTACTCTGGCCAACCATTGATGGAGAACTACTTCCGAGGTCACCTTTGGAAAGTTTGAAAGATCCTATGTCGACGGAATCAATTTACTTTAGATCTTTAGACATGCTGGCAGGTACAACAAGCAATGAAGCTTCGGTGATTGCAATGTTTTTAGGTGGATTACAGGAACCGATGAACTTCAGTATGGCTGAAGGAATACCTACGGCTGTCTTATGTGACGTATTTGCTCCAACATTAGCCAGGGAAATGTTCAATGACAATCCAATTGTGTCCGATTTACTTTGTAAGGAATATTCATCTGATGACATGGAAGAACAAGCAAGGAAACTTTCAATTATGCATGCGGATACTTGGTTTGTTTCTCCTACAATTCAACTTCTTGATTTCCATGCTAAAGGTAAAAACACTCCGATTACTTACCATTATTTGTATAACCAGCCGATCGACTTTTTTTATATGGCCCCAAGTTTCCCTTGGATGGAGGGAGCAGGACATGCGACCGAACTGCTCTACATGTTCGGTCCGTCAGGCCTAAACGAATTGGACAAATCATTATCAACTGACGAAGGCAGAACATTTTCTGACGTCCTTGCAAGATACTGGACAAACTTCGCCAAAACAGGGTATGGATTTTAAACTCCTAATTAGTATGAATATTTTTTCTTACATTTTATTCTATTTTTGGTTGTGTTATCAACTTTATTTATTTAATGTATTTATACATGTATTTTGTGCTAGTATTTCCAAATGAAATTTGAATAAGTTTGATTCAAGATTTTAAACCATAACAAAGATTTTGGTATTCTTTGTATACATGTGTACTGACATGCTATTGCAACTGATGCATCCACTTTCATATAGAAGATCATGCTTTTTACGTCATCGCCATGTGCCAGACTCTTATAATATCGGTCACATCATGCTCTCCGTATCTTCATCTGCATCTCATAGTCCAATTGATCAAAAATAATGTCAAATGTAAATTTTATTTTGGGAAAGACCCAAAAGTCAAAATATTTATGGATTTTGTTTTGTGTGTGATTTTATGTTTTGTTGTTTGCAATCCCAATATTTACAGCTTTTGTCTTGAATTTCACTCTTACATGCATGTTTTTGCTTAGCTGGCCAGGCTTTGAATAACTTGGACCTAACGTGTTTTCTTTCTGTATAACAAGGAAAGAATTCATCTCACTTTTCTCTTTCTCCTTACTTGTCATATTTATTTGATTATAGACGACTCACTTACGAATACTTTGTTGTTTTCTTCTGTACTAAAGCAACGTTTGTTTGACATAGGAACCCAAATGGAGATGGTCTTGTCCCTTGGAAGGCGTTCAGTACCGAAGGGCGGGACTACATGGAGTTAAAGTACCAGCCAGTTCCGGGCAAAAACTTGTACGCAAAGAGGATGAAGATTCTTTTGGAGGATATACCAAATAAAATCAAGAATAATGTCAAAACTGAACTGTAGAAATACACCGAGATTTGTGATCTGAAATCAAAGGGTATGACATCATCAGTCACATAGAAAATGTTTCCTGTTTTTGTTTTGTGTGTACATGTACAGGAAAAACATCATTGTACAGTTAAGTATGACGTATACTAGTACCTTCCCAAGGGTGTCCATCGAACTGAAACCTTTTATAACATGCATGATTCACGAAAGGGAAATTGTACAATCACAATCAATCCTTACTCGTTCACTAGTCATTCCATAGAATATGAGCAAAAAATATTATAGATACAACAGGCTCAGAATAATGAACACTTTTTAGTATTAATGTGTGTTTTACGTTCATCTTTGAACTGCAAAATGTTGAACCGTAAGGGGAAAATAGAAATGGCGGTGAATGTTAGATGAAAATGTAATTTAACAGGGTTTTAAAATATGTAATATTATAGAGAGCTTGCATTGATTGTATAGACATTAAATTTGGAACCTTTTTGTTGACGTTTACCCGTAAAACAAAGTGAGTTGTTTTTACTTCAGCCAATGTTTAGAAAATATCAGACACCAACCTGCATTTCTGACTAGAAAATCGCACTGTAGAACAACATGTTGTCAAATACAAGTGTTCACAGACCATGGTGTGTCCCGTAACTGTTCACACATAAATGTGTGATATAACACCGATGTATATAACACGCAGCACTACATTTAAGTAAAGTGTGGTAAAGTCAGGTACTGGCAGACAAAGTAAGCGTTTGCTGACCCGTCAAAAGATCAAACAAAACAATTGTCCTTTGAACATTTGCGCAGTTAGCAAAACACAAAATTACTGCAAAAAATACATTATTATAATTAGACCGTCTGTTTTGACGTGTGTGAAATAAGCGGCCTTCAGTAAGGATTTGCTGAAGAATTCACTGGTCGAATTCTACAGATGGTAAGGAAGAATGAAAATTCGTCGTATGTATATTTGACAAGGATGAAGACGCCTTGAACGTTGTATTTATGCAATTTCTGGAGAAATGTCAGCTAACAAATTGCCGAAGACACATTCAGACGTAAAGACACCACGTTTACATGTTAATTTTGTTCTCTCTCTATATTTTCCCTATTTCATTTTCACCTGTTCTATCTCACACGTAGTATGAGCCGCCAATGATAGGGATTTTAACTGATCTCATGTCAAAGTCGTCGTTTTTAGATAGTGCCGGTAAATTTAGATAATCGATAAACTTATTTCAACAAAAGTAGTGGCACTGTTAGTTTCAAGGTCACAGTTTACCGCCGTGCCGTTACTGATAAATAATCCTGTGTCATCTATACAAGCTCAAACATGATATCGTGCATGTGGGAATACCATAACACGTCATACACATTATCGCGCATGTATAAATGTACGTAAAGACTGCAAACACATCGTCACCATGAAAGCATACGAATTTCATATCATTACGAATGTAGATACTAGTATATTTTTCACCACACATGTATAAATACCCCTACACAACACATGCATAAAAACCCCTTCACAACGTATGCATAAATACCCCTACACAACACATGAATAAATACCCCTACACAACACATGCAAAATAACACTACACAACTAATGCATTAATACCCCTACACAACACATGCATAAATACCCCTACACGACACATGCATAAATAACTCTACACAACGTATGCATAAATACCCCTACACAACTAATGCATAAATACCCCTACACGACACATGCAAAATAACTCTACACAACGTAGGCATTAAATACCCCTACACAACACATGCATAAATACCCATCCACAACATATGTATAAATACCCAACACAACATATGCAAAATAACACTACACAACTAATGCATTAATACCCCTACACAACACATGCATAAATAACTCTACACAACGTATGCATAAATACCCCTACACAACTAATGCATAAATACCCCTACACGACACATGCATAAATAACTCTACACAACATATGCAAAATAACTTTACACAACGTATGCATAAATACCCCTACACAACACATGCAAAATACCCCTACACAACGTATGCATAAATACCCCTACACAACACATGCATAACTACCCATACACAACATATGTATAAATACCCAACACAACATATGCAAATAAAAAACTACACAACGTATGCATCAATACCACTACACAACACATGAACAAATACCCCTACACAAAACATTCATAAATACCATACACAACATATTCATACATCCCATACACACCATATGTTTAAATACCCAACACAACAAATGTATAAATAACCATCACAACATATGCAAATAAAAAACTACACGACGTATGCATCAATACCCCTACACAAAACATTCATAAATACCATACACAACATATGCATAATATGCAAATAAAAAACTACACAACGCATGCATAAATATCCCTACACAACACATACATCAATACCCCTACACAACACATGAATAAATACCCAACACAACATATGTATAAATACCCAACACAACATATGTATAAATACCCATCACAACATATGCAAAATAACACTTCACAACGTATGCATAAATACCCATACACAACATATTCATACATCCCATACACAACATATGTTTAAATACCCAACACAACATATGTATAAATACCCAACACAACAAATGTATAAATAACCATCACAACATATGCAAAATAACGCTACACAACGAATTCATTAATACCCCTACACAACACATACATAAATAACTCTACACAACGTATGCATAAATACCCCTACACAACACATGCATAAATACCCATACACAACATATGCAAAATAACTCAACACAACGTATGCATCAATACCCCTACACAACACATGCTTAAATACCCATACACAACATATGTATAAATACCCAACCAAACAAATGCAAAAAAAACACTACACAACGTATGACTCAATACCACTACACAACACATGAATAAATACCCCTAGACAACACATGAATAAATACCCCTACACAACACATGCATAAATACCCATACACAACACATGTATAAATACCCAACACAACATATGCAAAATAACACTACACAACTTATGCATAAATACCCCTACAAAACACATGCATAAATACCCCTACACAACGTATGCATAAATAACCCTACACGACACATGCATAAATAACTCTATACAACGTATGCATAAATACCCCTACACAACACATGCAAAAATACCCCTACACAACACATGCATCAATACCCTTACACAACGTATGCAAAATAACTCTACACAACGTATGCATAAATACCCCTACACAACACATGCATAACTACCCATACACAACATATGTATAAATACCCATCACAACATATGCTTAAATACCCAACAAAACAAATGCAAAAAAAAAAACACACAACGTATGCATCAATACCACTACACAACACATGAATAAATACCCCTACACAACACATGAATAAATACACAACGCAACATATCCAAAATAACACTACACAACGTATGCATAAATACCCATACACAACATATGTATAAATACCCAACACAACATATGCAAAATAACACTACACAACACATGCATAAATACCCATACACAACATATGTATAAATACCCCTACACAACACATGCTTTAATACTCCTACACAACGTATGCATAAATACCCCTACACAACACATGCATAACTACCCATACACAACATATGTATAAATACCCATCACAACATATGCTTAAATACCCAACACAACATATGCAAAAAAAACCACACAACGTATGCATCAATACCACTACACAACACATGAATAAATACCCCTACACAACACATGAATAAATACACAACACAACATATCCAAAATAACACTACACAACGTATGCATAAATACCCCTACACAACATATGCATAAATACCCCTACACAACACATGAATAAATACACAACACAACATATGCAAAATAACTCTACACAGCGTATGCATCAAAACCCCTACACAACACATTCATAAATCCCATACACAACATATGCTTAAATACCCAACATAACATATGTATAAATACCCAACACAACATATGTATAAATAACCATCACAACATATGCAAAATAACGCTACACAACGAATTCATTAATACCCCTACAAAACACATGCATAAATACCCATACACAACATACGTATAAATACCCAACACAACATATGAAAACTAACACTACACAACTAATGCATAAATAACTCTACACAACGTATGCATAAATACCCCTACACAACACATGCATAAATACCCCTACGCAACATATGCAAAATAACTCTACACAACGTATGCATAAATACCCCTACACAGCACATGCATAACTACCCATACACTACATATGTATAAATACCCATCACAACATATGTATAAATACCCATCACAACATATGCAAAAAATATCCTTCACAACGTATGCATCAATACCACTACACAACGTATGCATAAATACCCATACAAAACACATGCATAAATACCCATACACAACATACGTATAAATACCCAACACAACATATGCAAACTAACACTACACAACTAATGCATAAAAAACCCTACACAACACATGCATAAATACCCCTACACAACATATGCAAAATAGCTCTACACAACGTATGCATAAATATCCCTACACAACACATGCATAAATACCCCTACACAACATATGCAAATATACCCTACACAACGTATGCATCAATACCACTACACAACACATTCATAAATCCCATACACAACATATGTTTAAATACCCAACACAACATATGTATAAATACCCAACACAACATATGCAAAATAACACTACACACCATATGCATCAATACCCCTACACAACGCATACATGTATACCCCTACACAACACATACATCAATACCCCTACACAACGTATGCGTAAGTACTCATACACAACACATACATAAATACCCCTACACAACATATGAATAAATACCCCTACACAACATATGTATGAATACCCAACACAACATATGCAAAATAACTCTACACAACGTATGCATCAATACCCCTACACAACGCATACATGTATACCCCTACACAATACATACATCAATACCCCTACACAACGTATGCGTAAGTACTCATACACAACTCATGCATCAATACCCTTACGAAACGTATACATAAAAACCTCAATACAACGTATGCATAAATACCCCTACACAACACATCCATAAATACCCCTACACAGCATATGCAAAATAACTCTACACAACGTATGCATAAATACCCCTACACAACACATCCATAAATACCCCTACACAACATATGCAAAATAACTCTACACAACGTATGCATAAATACCCCTACACAACACATGCATAACTACCCATACACAACATATGTATAAAAACCCAACACAACATATGCAAAAATGCCCTACACAACGTATGCATCAATACCCATACATAACACATGCATAAATACCAATACACAACATATGTATAAATACCCAACACAACATATGCAAAAATACCCTACACAACATATGTATAAATACCCAACACAACATATGCAAAATAACGCTACACAACGAATGCATAATTACCCCTACATGTATACAACACATGCCACTAACCCTGCCTAGTCACTACACACATGTACACTTTACTGACATGTTAAACCATGTTTTATTACATACTTACTAATAAATACGAGGTTTTTGTATATGCGATACGACACAATTGCTCTTACCCATATCAGCCCTCGCCGTATCACATCCCAAAACCCGTATCAGCCCCCGCCGTATCACACCCAAAACCCATATCAGCCCGCAAAACCCATACCACACCCCTTTTGGGAAAAAAATCGTTTTTCAATATTCCAAAAATAAAAACAAATGATAAGATAGGTTTTTTTTATTGGTAAGTATGTAATAAACAGAATAAAATACGTCTTTTTCCATATCACACCCAGTATCAACCCTCGACCAATATCAGCCCTCGGGCCTTCGGCCCTTAGGCTGATATTGCAGTCTCGGGTTGATACTGGGTATGATATAGAAAAAGGCATGTATTATTCTCTATATAATGCTCCCATTTCATATATACCATTTTTTAAACAATTACTGCCTTGGCATTGGTAAAATGATTAATAGAAATCCCCGTTTCTCTTATTTGATAGAAACTATCCTATCTTTTCAGTCAGATTCTTTAACTACCTCTCTGTTACAAAATTCAAAATGATCATTCTGAATGGTTATTTAAAGTTATTTGAAAGACACTTTTTATAGCCTTTCTTTTATTAATGAGGTTTCAGGATCAATAATAGAAAATATATCCTCTTCCATGAGATATCGGGAGAAAAGGATAGAATAGAAATTAATTTTATATGTTGTATTATAGCACTGATAATGTATATGATTTCGTAAAATGAAACATTCTGTTGAATAAAATCAATTTTTTCAACATTTCATATTTATTTTTCATTCGTGATCATGCGTAAAAATGGTCAACCATATAAGAACAGACGTCTACACTCTCGAAACAAACATACACAGTGTTCAGTTAATATCAACAAATCGTCGAAACACATCATTCAAAGATTCACAAGTACATTGTAGGTGTTGTCTTATCCCGACAATATAGTACCGGAATATTTCTGTTGAAGTGAACAGGTTTTCTTAAGAAGTAGTTTATTTTGTCATGTTGACCGCAGTTTATGTTTGCCGTCCTACTTTGTAGCATACTGTCCACACGGTCGAGTAATAATTGTGAAAGGGTCGTGGGTAGAGCGTATTTGCTGATAGAAGTGGAGGTATACTTAAGCTGGACGTTAAACTGGACGTCCAGTACACCACCTCATAGGCCTCTCCCCCACTGCACTACCAGGTATGTTATTTCACTAGAATAAGATAAAATTGGTTCCAAATCAAATTTTCTATTTTTAACTTTTGCGTATTTGTCTCCATGCTGATGTGAAGAATAAATGTAGTGTAGTTTTTGTCATCTGATCAAAAGTCCTACTAAGTCGATTTATTTTATTTCCCATATTAAGCGAAAATGAGGACTTAAAGGAAATACTTGCGAAAATACCTTGTATAAGGTGCAGCCATTAATGCAACAATACCATACCAGTTGATGGTAGTACAAAGTAATGATATGCTATCGATCAATGCTTAATATGGCTTAATATTCGACTTCTTTACAAATTAAAACACTGTATATGTATTGTAAGCTTATGGCTAGAGAGACGCTGCTCAGGGAATCAAATATTCTTTGTACATTTGACAAGTTTCACTTCAGATGGATAAAGTCACAAAGCTTCGAATATTGTTTTGATTTCAAAACAATTGAATTATGAGGATCGAGGATCAATATTTAGTTAACATATAGGACGAATATGTCTTTACTTTCCTCACTTAATCAACTAATTAACTTATTTTTAAAAATAAATTTCATGTATTTTTCACACACGAGTCTGGAGGTGTTGAGTTATAGGGTAGGGAAATGGTTGGAAGGTATTACATGGAATATTCAGAGGTTTACAGATAATCAATGCTGTTCATGTTCTACTATCTAATAACCCTCTGAACTCCAGCCGACATTTAACTATAACGCTACACGATATAGCCACAGAGGGTTATAAACTGGAACGTACTAGGTGTAATGTGTAACATGTTACTATTTGGACAATATTCGACCAACGGTTTCGTTCATATTACTGGAGCTGTTCAAACAGTGACAGAACTGTGTTTATACACGAAGTAAAGTGAGAAAGTAAGTGGCGGGAACGCCGTGGTGAGAATGAAGACTCGTCGAACGGTTAAGCTGATCAGGTCACAATTACATGTACATGTTAAAATGGATGTCCATAAGCAAAATTACAGGCTGGAGATCTGTCACTATTTCAAAAGTTTAAAAATTAAGTTTGTTTACATACGATATGATCATCGAAGATATCCGTGGAAAGCGTCAATTGTTAAGCATAAGGACCGAATTGTTCAAAGTTTAGTTAACTTAACGACACTTTCATTTTGTATTTTCCCAACAATATTTTTCAAGAATCAAATCTGCTGATATCGGGGTTTCACAATTTTTGCTCATAGACATGAAACAAAAGATTATTTTCTGTTTAGATACATTTATCTAAAATTATATTTTGATCCTTTTTGTTTGTGAGTTGTTGAACTAATAAGTAATTGTCCAGTCGGTCACAGTCGTACCTCCTAACACCTATGTTGTAAATACATCAAGACAATGTGTCTATGTATTTATATTTATCACATAATATGTCTGTATTCCCTATCAACCACTGTAAACCTTCACATACAACTTCATATAAAGAAAAAGAGCCAATTGAAATAGGTTATCCCTCTTAGAAAAACAGATCATCAGTATACTGTGAGAGTTTTGTTTGGATTGAGCAAAGATAATCCTTTTTTAGATAGATAGTTTAGGAATATATATCGAAAACATCATTTTATACTTAGGAAACACCTATATAATACATCCCAACAGATTCAATGAGAGAATTTCTGTAGATTATTGTTTGAATAAAAAACTTAACTTTAATGAAAGAATTGGTACTACAGACTTTCAGGTTACGCGTTCTAGTTGTCTTTAATACTGTAAAAGTTCCCAAGCAAACCTACCATATACATATGTTATCCTATAAATATTGATTTTCATAGCATCATCATTTTTATTAAAGAGACAAGGATGACATCACAACTACTCCTATTTGTTTGGCTACAGGCTGCCATGATAGTGCACACGTCATGTCAGTCCTTCCCAACAGTCAGCACTCCTTCCGGTCCCATCAAGGGCGTAGTCGTTCCTACTCTCGGAAAGGATATTGTGCAGTTCCGGAATATTCCATATGCTAAACCTCCTGTTGGCAACCTCAGATTTGAGAAACCACTTCCGGTAGAACCTTGGACGAAAATGCTTGACGGGACGATGTTTGGCCCTTCTTGTATGCAGGATAAAAATATATTTCCAGATATGTGGGAAAATGTAGAAAATGATGCAATATCCGAGGACTGTTTACAACTTAATGTCTACGTACCTAACACTGCTTCGATCGAAGCGAAAACGCCAGTTATGGTATGGATTCATGGAGGAGGCATGTTTATGGGAAATAGTTCGAGTTACGATGCATCATTTTTCGCAATGAAAGACGTTATCGTGGTAACTATCAACTATCGTCTCGGAATATTCGGGTTCATGAGCACTGAAGACTCTGCTTTACCTGGTAACTATGGACTTTGGGATATGATCGAAGCATTACGGTGGGTGAATAAAAATATAGCATCATTTGGAGGTGATCCCAAATCGGTAACTATATTTGGTGAGTCGGCCGGTGGGTTTGCGGTATCCTACCTGGCTATGATTCCCAGAACTGAAGGTCTGTTCCAACGTATCATTCCACAAAGTGGGCCTGCTGTAGCATTTATGGGAATTGCACCAAACCCAGCAAGGGTTGTCAAGGCCACAGGCAAGTTTGTTGAATGCATAGCTAGCAAGGACGAAGAAGACATTGACAACAGTGTTCTCGTAAACTGTCTGAAGCAGAAGTCAGCGGAAGAATTGTTGAGGGCCCAGTCGGATCCCGGAACTCAGTTTTTTGGCTCATTTTCTCTTTCTCCAGTTATCTGGCCTGCTATTGATGGAGAACTACTTGTAAGGTCACCTTTGGATAGTTTGAATGATCCTAAGTCGGAAGAATCCATTTACTTTAGATCTTTAGATATGCTGGCGGGAACAACAGACAACGAAGCATCATTAATCCCCTTGTTTTTCCAAGGCCTTCAAGAACCTATGGAGTTTAATATGACGGACGGTATACCTACCTCTGTTTTATGTAACGTTCTCGCACCAACAATAGCCAAGGAGATGTTCAATGACGAGACTGTTGTATCCGACTTACTTTGTAAAGAATATTCTGCTGATAATCTGGAGCAGCAAGCAAGAAATATTAGTATTCTATATGGGGATGCCATGTTTGTTTCGCCTACAGTACAACTTCTTGATTTCCATGCCAAGGGTAAGGTATCTCCGAATACATTCCAATACACTTTTACTCAGGCAGTCAATTTTCCCCTTCTGGTGCCCCTTTTTCCGTGGATGGAAGGGGCAGGGCATGGAACTGAGATAGTTTACATGTTTGGTCCTACAGGCGTCAATGAAATGGATGTATCTTTATCGACCGACGAAGGAAAGGCATTTACCGACGTTCTTGTTACCTACTGGACTAACTTCGCTAAAACAGGGTAAATACCGAGTTATGTTTTATTTTGGTATACCAATGAACAAACGGCATCCGTTAAAAAATCTGTAAGTTTGAATAACTTCAGCATTAAGAATGATTTCAGACTGGTTATGTAACTAAAATAATGTAGCAACGAAAAAAAACATATATTAAAGTACAAGTGAGTGGTGACCCTTATAGGAATAATTAAGCTGTCAACTCACGAAATAGTGCAACATTTGTCATTGATTCAGTATTTCTTGATATTTTCCTCAAAGTTTACATTGGACATTGTCTATAACTATGTCCCTATTTTATAATGTGTAATTTAATTCTATTAACATATTGTCTTTGACACAGGACCCCTAACGGAGATGGTGTGGTACCGTGGCAGGCGTTCAGCTCCAAAGGTCGAGACTACATGGAACTAAAGTACCAGCCAGAACCAGGCCAAAACTTGTACAAAAGGAGAATGGAGTTTCTGCTGGAGGATATACCAAAAATACTTAAGAACAAAGTCAAAACTGAACTAAAGATAGACAGAAAGTGATAATATTAAACTAATTCTTATGTTTACACATCGTCGAAATCCAACGCTTCCCCTCTCGATATCACAGGAACCTGAGAATATGTTACAGCTATATTTTGACCTCAACTAAGGTGTTCAGAGTAATTTAACAAAATTAAGGGGTTTAGATCGGTAAAAATGACACCTCAATGCTCGTATAGTCGATCCAAAACCCATAAACATTTAAAATTACTCCAAACACCTTAGTTTAGATCCAAATATAGTTGTAACAAATTATCAGGTCCCTGTGCCCGATATGTGTACATATGCGTACCTTGTAGTTTTGCAATATAAGCCGACGTCTAGCTCTCAGGTCGGCGAGTCCAATACCTTACCTGACGTACAACTGAACAATGTAACATTCAAACACACATGTACCTGAGTAATATCTTTTTAAATGCTGTCCTCGGTACACGTGTTCTAGGGATTATTCAGAGTTGCTCCCATTGTTACTTATGCAATATGATATCACAATTATTTTAGTTTGTGCGACGAAACGTAATGTTATCTGATTGTCTATTTTACAGAAAATCTCTTTTTATATCGATATGAATGTGTGGGTTAACATTACAAAGAATAAAGATAAATGAAGATATTTCTCTCATAATAGTAAATCATGCAAATAATAAACACACAATTATTGAACTATAGTTTATAATATTAACAAAACATCATTGTCCACAGTTTTATTGTCCTAGACCCGGTCATAACCGGAACAAGGACGTAAAGCCCCATCAATCAATCAATCTACACAATTTCTTTAAACAAAAGTACAGATACCCATGTAGAGGAATTAATCTAGAAGTTGTTTATTGTGTTTAGTTTACATGTTCAATCATAATAATATTGCTACATGGTATAAATAAGGAACAGTTTAATATGTCTTCAATATAATAAATCCAACATGAGCTTATTTTTTAGTTCGGTTTGAGTAATCTAGTGTTATTTTAAGGAGTAAGGGAAGAACAAAAATACAATACCAAAGTGTTAACAAACCGTAATTAGAACTGAAGATCTATAAAAATGGTTCTTTAAATTAAAAAAAGAGATGATATTTTTTGCTAACTCCCCCACCCACCCCCGAATTGAATTGATATTAAAGTTACTCTTAAGCTACGTCTATTAGCAATACTACTATAAGCTATTTTTTAAAGAAATATCATTCCACACCCAATAGTGCAAAAAACAACATGCCCTCTATATATTTTAGTGATTAGATTGAATCTAGGTCAAAACGGCCTCACTGTAAAAACGGCCCTAGTGAAAACGGCCCTAGATGGAACGGCCCCACTTATTGAATCGTGATTAAATACAATTTGATTGGATTTTAAATAAACTTAGTATTCAATTTATTTCAAATCAGATACTTGTTGAATATATTTAGAGGATGTACTTATAACGGGACGTATATATATGAACATTGATGTATATTTCAATAAATTGCTAAGTATAACGGTACGTATATATATGAGCATAACAATTATGATATAAGTATAACGGGACGTATAATAAATAGCAAATAATGTATTTTAATTAGTACAAGAAAAGCAGAAAAACAGGACAGTAGAAAAAGAGTCAGAGATCAGATTTTTTTTTACTGATAGATGAATTGAGTATTTCAGTGCAGGAGTCAACAGGTAAGTATATATAGATGACACTATATATTGACCTGTATTCACGCAAACCGTTTACTATCAACCATAAATGTTTGAACATGCTTACAAATAACTTCGTTTGATTTTATATCTAACCACGGAATTAGATTGTTATCATAAGTCCGTGATCTAACGAAATATCACCTAACAAAAGGCTTTCTCATGTAATATTGGTTAACCATATCAAATGTTGAAACACTTAATTTCTTTGTACATCATACATTGGACAATAAAAAAATGGTTTAGCGTCCTTCATATTATGTCCATATCTACAGGATGGACTGTCAATACGATTGACATGGAATAAAATATGCTTTTTAATATGTTTTGTATTTACTTCTTTTCTCTAAATAATTAAATTAAATTAAACACTGAAGTAGAAAACACTACCGTTGCAAAAGTATTTGAGACTGAGGAGTTATCCGTAATTATTCGTAGTACATCCCCGCCTCAAGACGCCAATGATCGGTACGGTTGGATACGGTGAACTACATATACGTACTTGTACTAACCCGTACTAAAATCAGAGTTAAGTTGTGGAATGAGCACGCGAGCGCGGGAGTTTGTACACGGATTGCTTACCGTGTCCGTGGCGCTCCAAGCGAGTTTGTACTAATTCGTGCCAGACCGTTCTAATTCGTGCTAACCGTACTAAAACCGTTCTAAAATCGTAGCGAACCGTTGTTTATCCGCAGTGCATACGCATCGACACGTGTCATTCCGTACTAAATCTTCAAGTGGAAAAGAAAACATTTTATATGAACCCAGAATAACAAAAACACTCACGAAGGACTGAACCAGCGGAAAGTAGCACCAAAAAGGGTAAAACATTTTGCTAGCCTTGAAAATCCCAGATGTTTGGTGAAATTGTATTCGTTGTGCTTGTCTATAATTCCTAGGAAAGGAAACTTTTACAGAAAACCCATGCCATTGTCGGATAAATATAAATATCCCCGTTTCAGTGTAGTAAATATCTCGAAGTAAGACATGAGAAATATGATGAAAAAGATTTAAAATGACGCCGGTATTGATACTAGAGGCAGAAACATTTCAAATCATAGTGGACGAGTTACATGTTGTACTATGTATATAATCAGGGTTTTGATGACAAAGCTGTTACTTCTAGAGCATGGCATCGTAGCTCTGCAGTCAATATGTACAAGCGTTAACGCACTCCTATATATGCTCCAGGATATAAGTAACTATCTGAACACCCGAATAGTCGAAAAGCTAGGAAATTCACGCACTGGAAAACTGTTCATCCCTTTCACATCCGATTTAAGTGTCCATGGACTATCTACTAATGCTGCGTGTACCAAGGAGAAAATAAAATCTGAAAACGACGAATCGGAGGAAAATGTGCCGGACAATTCCTTAAACTCGAACAATGTCAATGCTTTAACCATTCACATTTCGGAATCAGTTTGCGAGGTTATTGCTGTAAAGGGCAGCAAAAAGGTCAAAATTGAAATTTGAATGTTTATCTTGTAAAATTAGAAAGTGAGGAAAATAGTTCGAATTTGTGTACTTTTTCTCTCATGATTAACATTGTTTTGTTCTTGAAGATGTTTTTAATAAGGAAATGAACTCGGTGTAATCTCTTCGACTGTGATTGGCTTGTGTTACTTACTGACGAATCATAGTCGAGAAGACCCGTCCCTAATCTCTTCGTTTAAAGAAACTGTCTATGAAAAACGACCTTCGTCATGAAGATCGCTTTCTATAAGATTATGTCAAGGGAAATCCTTGGCTCCGATTGGCTGAAATACTCGAAAAAGCCAAATTCGCCGTCTTAACCTGTTACCGAACCGTAGCAATTCATATCACTCCCCGTTGTCAACTAGCCCATACCCGTAGTAAACCCGTGGTGCATCTGTAACCGACCTCCGGCGAGACAATCCGTTTATGTGTGACCGGGCATAAACGAGTATAGTATGAATTGCTTCAAAGTTATCATACAACCCGTAATATCGGAACATCTCCTTCCTTCACCAATATCAGGCTCTTTCGTACATTAAATTTCTGGCTACACTCAATAACAAAATCACAAAATACCCCTTCCTTTCTTCCTTTCTTTATAAAACAGATAGGTATTGAATAACAGGAAGCGAATTTAATTTTTTGTACTTTTTGTTGCAAAACACACTTCCTAATACATTTGCCAATAGATAGTTTTAATTATGAATAAGAAGTACAAATAAGCAGAAAAATTATCCTTACGGACGCAGAAATAATATAAAAAGAAAAAAATCTCAACAACGAGTCTTTAGTACTTTCATCTCGTTAAGGAGATTCTTCGGTCTGTTTATTTGAATACAGTTACAGAATGGGTATTAGGTAAATAGCAAATGTATGGTCCCCCGAGGTAAAGAAACTATTTCCAGAGGCGACAAGTAGGACATTTTATCGTATTTATATAGGGAAAACTCAGAAGAGGTATAATAAAAGTAGATGTTATGACGTCACACAATAGTTTGCTATAGCGACGTCCACTATATGCGAACCCGCCATAGCGATATCACAGCAATAGAAATACATAATGATGGAGATAAAGAGTACTATTTGTTTAGGATTTAGAACTACTATCAATACTATTATTTATGAAATAAAAATGAAAATCTTATGTGGGGCGAACTCGGGACCATTACATTACTGATCCGCCACACTACCGATGTCTATGGTGGCCGATATATGACATTTGGTCTTTTCGCTTTGTCGCCCGCGAAATAATGCCAAGCGAAAAAACGAAATAACGCCAAAGCGCCAAAGCGAAAAGACGAAATAACGCCAAAGCGCCAAAGCGCCAAAGCAAAATAACGAAAAGACGAAAACCTACCAAAGCGAAATAACGAAATAACGCCAAACCGAAGTGAAAATAACGCCACCATAGATGTCACTACAACGAATCAATTAAGGGGGCATTTTATAAACTGAGAATTTACGAGCACGCGCTAAATGTCACGTGTAAATTGACGGTCATTTTGCGTGACCCTGTTCCGTTCTACTTCAGTGATTTACTAGAAGGATTTTCAAAACCAGGTCCACGTGTAGTATTTCCCGACTAACGTTTCAACAAAGTTTAACTGGAGCCGTGTTAACGAGATTTTGTGGAAATATCTTCCTTTGAGATAACTGAATATTTCTTCCAGCACTTACACGGCTTTTCAACTGATTGGAAGAAAACCTAGATGACAAAATAATTCGTACTGGTAAATATACTGTACCACATTTCAAAGTGCGTTTTTGTGCATAGATACTTTTAAGTGACTTTAAAATGTTAAAGTGTAAAAGGTTTACAACTCGAACAAAGTTACCCACTTGCTGAGTAGAAAAAATCAGGAACACTACTGGATATCCCCACCAGTTTTATAAACTGAGAGTTTACGAGCACGCGCTAAATGTCACGTGTAAATTGACGGACATTATGCGTGACCCTGTTCCGTTCTACTTCAGTGTTTTATAAGAAGAATGATTATTAAAATCAAGTGCACGTGTAGAATTTCCCGACTAACGTTTCAACAAAGTTTATCTGTAGCTGTTTTAACGATATTTTGTGGAAATATCTTCCCTTGAGATATTTCTTCCTGGACTAAACGGCTATTCAACTGATTGGAAGAAAACCTACATGACAAAATAATTCGAAAGTAATATCTTTTAAACAGTATGGGATCAGCATCCATGAATATTTGCTCATGCCACAAGTTTCTATTTCATTAAAAATCATTTGATTGGATTACAAGACATGATATGGCAATGTGCATTTGCTACAGTATTATACTTTATTGTCCTTGTTGTAGGGGGACACCCCTTTGTTTCTCATTGATTAATCATGTTACACCTTCACCCTCGCGTTACATGATTTATCTCGGAGAAAGAAACATGGGCAAGAAATGTTCTATTATACCTAAATGAAACAATAACACATCAGCACAGATGATCAGATGGACGCCTCATTGTTGTCGTGTGCTTCAGTCAATCGGAACTCGGCCGCTTTTTCATTGAGTTCCCCGAATAAAAGAAATTTGACCGAGAAACTTTAGCGTGTGATTACGGCATGACGTAATCCAATCAGACACGTTTTTTCTATAGATGACGTTTAATAATTTTAAATATAACATCAGTATAAATGTCAGCTCCTTCATTTGTATCATTTTGAATCCCATTTAGGCCTACCTAAAAATGTTTCAAAACAAATATGGTTGATATCTACGATCTCATTGTTTCAGATATGAAGACATTAAGGGCAATATATGATGTCAAATTACATGTACCCTCATGGCCCCGCCCCTATGCAGCTCCGGGGATAGCACCTCCACCTGGTCAATTTTGAATCCCCATCCCTAAAGAATGATGTTTGATTTCCATTTACTATTTGCTATTATAGTTACAGAGGAGATGTCGTTTAAAGCAGTGTGGCCATGTTACCGTTGTAAGATGTCACTCTCTAATATTCCGCTGTTGACCCAGCATAAAGCTGTCCATCGCCTACTTAAACTAAACTATAGTATTCTCACATGTTTAGCGCTACATTTCTAAAGTTCAGTCTTGACATTATTCTTGATTTTGTTCGGTATATCATGTAGCAGGAACTTCATCCTCCTCTCGTACAAGTTCTGGCCCGGGACTGGCTGGGTATTCAACTCTAAATAGTCCCGATCCTTACAACTGAACGCTGTCCAAGGGGCCAGACCTCTCCCGTTAGGATTCCTGTGTCAATTAAAGTATTTTTTCCATACACATAAAATAAAAATAAATCGTTCAACAAACACAGAAACATTAAAAGACATTAACCCAGCTGTGTTATATAGACATAGAAATATCCGGAAAAACCAACATGTATCAATAATGGGGGTGGATTTGGTAGGCTCCCGAAATACACTGCCATATATTAGACCATTTTTTCAAAAGCTTTCAAAAGACATTTCCGTTGTTGCACTGAGCCATATAATTGAGAACATTACTTTTAATACAGGTTTTGAGGCTGATGTACTGCACTTATGTGTTATAATCAGAAGCATGATTGATCGAAACAAAATACCTGTGTATAAACAACAAACAAGCTATTTACCCTGTTTTAGCAAAGTTTGTCCAATAAGTGACGAGGACGTCGGTAAATGCCCTTCCTTCGTCTGAAGACAAGGATGCATAGATTTCATTCCTGCCTTTCGGGCCAAACATATACGGTAGTTCGGCTGCATGCCTTGCACCTTCCATCCACGAATATTCAGGAAAAATAAAGGAAAAATTTAATGTCTTTGTATATAAGTAGTGATATGTATTTGGAGATGTCTTATCCTTTGCATGGAAGTCAAGAAGTTGTACTGTAGGCGAAACAAACCATGAATCCGCAAACAAATTAACGATATTTCTTGATTGTTGCTTTATGTTGTCATCAGAATATTCCTTGCAAAGTAAATCGGATACGATTGTTTCGTCTTTGAACATCTCCAAGGCTAATGTTGGGGCAACACTCTTACATAAAACAGAAGTAGGTATACCCTCAGTTAGATTGAATCCCATAGGTTCTTGTAGCATTCCCAAAATAAATGGCATAATCGATCCTTCGTTGTCTGTTGTACCTGCCAGCATGTCTAACGATCTAAAGTAAATGGATTCCTCCGACTTAGGATCATTCAAACTGTCCAAAGGTGACCTCCGAAGTAATTCTCCGTCAACAGAAGGCCAGATGACTTGTGAAAGAGTAAATTTGCCAAAAAATTGAGTTCCCGGATCTGACTGGGCTTTTACCAATTCGTCAGATGTTTTTTTCTTGAGACAACTTACAAGAACATTGTTGTCGACATCTAAGTCTTCGTCAATTATACATCCCACGAATTTCCCTGTAGCTTTTGCAGCTCTTGCAGGATTTTGCGCAATTCCCATGAACGAAACAGCAGGTCCGCTCTGTGGAATGATACGCCGGAATAGACGTGCAGTATTTGGTATCACAGCAAGGCAGGACACAGCGAAACCTCCGGCAGATTCACCAAAAACAGTCACCGATTCAGGATCGCCTCCAAATGATGCAATGTTCTTGTTTACCCACTTCAGAGCTTCAATCATATCCCAAAGTCCAAAATTACTGGGTAGTGCAGCATCCTCTGTGCTAAGGAAGCCAAATATTCCTAGACGGTAGTTAATGGTTACCACTATGACGTCTTTCAGGGCAAGGAATGACGCGTCATAACCCCAACTATTTCCCGTAACAAACGCCCCACCATGAATCCAAAACATGACCGGTTTGTTAACTTCAGTCGAAACAGCTCCAGGTACATAAATATTTAGTTGTAAACAGTCCTCACTTACTTCAGTATTTTCTGCGTTTTCCCACATGTCTGGAAATAGAGATATATCTTGCATACAGGAAGGACCAAAGACAGTTCCGTCCAAGGTTTCATTCCAAGGTTCAACGGGAAGTGTTTTTTGGAATCTTAGGTTGCCAACAGGGGGTTTAGCGTATGGAACATTCCGGAACTGCACGATATCCTTTCCGAGAGCGGGAACGACTACACCTTTGATCGGACCAGAAGGCGTATCGATTGTCGGGAAGGACAGGCATGACGTGCACGCTATCATGGCGTACTGCAGCCAACCATATAGGATGTGCGGTTTCATAGTTTGCAATCCTAAAGGAAAATAATGATTTTATTATAAAAAGGTAAATCGTGTACCTTTCCCCTTTTTATAGGTAAAATGTGACTGAAAGTTGTCCAAATGTGTACAAAAGGTTTTAATGACCAACACTACAGTTTGTCAGTTGGAATCAAGTTAGTAATACTGTATCTGTGCTACAGCAAGATGTTTCATTAATGTCGCAACTCGAAATAGTATGACTTGAAAAGCACAATGCTAATTGTAAACAATGTAACGTTATCTTTATTCGTGAATCTAAGAGGCCACGATGGACAAGTGGATTAAGGCGTCTGACCGTCTACGATCACTAGCCCTCCGCCACTCGGTTGCAGTTAAAGGTCTACGTGAGGTAGTCGCCTGGTACTGGCTGCAGGTCGTGATTTTCCCGACAGTACTCCAGTTTTCCTCCACCACTAAAACCTGGCACATCATTGATTGACCATAGTAGTTAAAAGAACTTTGAAAAATTAAAACAATCTAAAGCAGCAAAGTTACAGTCAAACAATAATCTAAGCATGTGTGTTCTCTTGATAAAGTCTAGCTTGTCATAAAGAATGTAAAAAAAAAGGTAAGTAGATCTTGTGTTAATGGACAGATGATCTTGATAGATAGGATGATATTTTGAAAAAAAAGAAGAAAACAGGCGCTCCGAAGTGCAAGTTCAACTATAGTTATAAACATATATCAACTAAAGAAAGGTGAACGAACGTGATCTAAGATCAACAATTATGAAACAAGTTTTCCGACTTTAACTTATCACTCGTGTTGGCACAGAGGTCTTTATGTGAGAGGAAACAGGAGTACCCGGAGAAAGACCACGTCGGCAAGCGAGAGACCAAGTACCTTTCCAAATTCGATCGGGGTATCAAACCTCGATCGTCTTGGAGGAAGGCGAGTGCGCTATCCGTTGTGCCCCCAGGTGAGACCACCATAGTCCTATATATTAGACTGAGGCAGGTTCGACTGTAATTGTAAACAGATGGTCTCCAACACAGGTTAACATATTATTGTAGACATTTTGCTCGTTGGCGACATATGGCTAGTGCAAGTATAGACAAATGTGTGTGGTAGAGACGTCGAACTTGGTTCATTTCGAGTATGTACTTGCATGTGCATTTGGTTGCCTTGAGAGTTGTGGTGATGATCAGTATTTATAATGTTGATACTTTGTATAAGGTAAGTATGAGAATTAAAAATAATTGCAGAGGCGACCTATTTTGTGAAGAGTATTGACGATTTGATGGAGTGGCAAACAATTGTTAGTACGAGTATTGACTAATATGGGCCTATGTCTACCTTAGACAGATATGAGTATGTATTAGAAGCTGTAATTTCGACCTAGGGCTAGTACTGGTTTACGGCAAACACAAATATAAACTGGTGTACCATGTCGTCTTTGGGCTTACACGAGTATGGACAAGTCAGTTCTATTTATTAAGTATCATTGAACTTTAAACATCTATTCCCTATTCGCTATTTTCCTGACATTTATGAGTCTCAAAATTGGAATTTTCTTTTTTTTTTTCTCTTAAAATATTTGAAACTTATCGCGTTGCCATTGATGCTTCCATATATGTGTCATAATACCATATCTAGTTACCCATTCCCTCAACCATTCTTTTTTATTTATACTATTAATGTCAGGTAACAATCCCGATAGTGCCATATCGAATACAATAGTACTAGGTATTCAGCTGTAGATATCAAATGACTGGCAGGCGCGGAGCTCTTATCTAGAGTTGCAAAAACATTCGGATTGTACCATTGGTCCTAGTTATCCACATTCTATATTTTTAGTTCATTTTTAATTATTATTCATTGTGGTAGTATGCGAGAGAGGGCAAGGGAACAACATCGTTGCATTTATAGCTATGCACGAGATAACACAATTCAACATGAAAATGTAGAATTTACTTTCACTACAATATGCTGTATACATTATGTATCTATTTGCTTACAATTCTCCAGATCCCTTATTTAAAAGATCCTCTCCACAAACTCTTCCTCTCAGACTCTACCCCACCGGCCACAACCCTAAACACATACACATACATGTAACCCACCGGTCATCCCTAAACACATACACATAAACCGAACCAACCACAACCCCTAAACACATACGCACAGTCGAAACCAACTCGTTACCCCTAAACACATATACACACTCTACCCACACACGCCACTCCTAAACACACACACACACACACACACACACACACACCCCAAACCCACCCGCCACCCTAAACACATACACACACATCAAACCCACCCGCCACCCCTAAACATATACATACAAACCAAACTTACCCGCCATCCCTAAACACATCCACACAATAAAACAACCCGCCACCCCTAAACATATACACACACATCAAACCCACCCGCCACCCCTTAACATATACATACAAACCAAACTTACCCGCCATCCCTAAACAAATACACACACTAAACCCACCCTCCACCCCTAAACACATACACACACTAAACCCTTCCGATCATTACGCCAAAACAATTGCCTTGCTATTGCCCATATAATATAACATAGCCAACGATTATATTAACCATATTAAACACTCATTGCGATTAAGATGACATGAGTAAACCATTTATATATTTATTTACGCCGTAAGTCTTTGTGGGGGTATCGATTGGTAAAGTCGAATGACATGTGATCATTTACTGATGTTACTGTATGTCACTGTTACTTAAGTTGTTAGTCTCTTATGTTAATCCTCAATAACACAGCAATACTGAACATATCGCAGTATTCTTCCAACTCAATCTACGTTCAACGTACCTTGTGCTGTATATATGTCAATAAATTGCCGACGTCTGTCAGGTAGGTGAATCAACTACCCCGGCTAACATACCGCTGGATTATTATACACAAAAACGTAAACATTCTGTAAGGTGAAGTCGTACTGGTACGTGTTACACCCGTATGTTCAACAATGGCTCAGTTTGAAATCCGGTCATTTTGATATATAATCCTCAGGCACATGTGCATCAATTAAAAAATAAATTATCGTACAAAGCACTGAAGGTTACATTACTGCATCGTAAACAAGACGACGACCGACCAAATGCTTGGATTATCAAGACAGAGTTATGATAATGATTCCCCTATTTACTCGACTGGCTGGTTACTGGAATCGAGCTGACATATATTTGTTTAAATGTTATAGAAGTAAATACTGTTTTTGAAATTTTATGTTTGTTATATTGGCTTTCAGTTGTTCTTCATTATAATCTACTGTTTGTGGACTTGAGGGTGTCTTTGATGTATGGATCATATATATGAAGTCATCTTTATTACATTGACTTTACATTTAGACTTGCTCAAGTCGAGGTAAAGATAATCATTTGATAGCAAGTATATTTGTGAGTGTCATTAGATTAAATATTTATAAATAAAATTCAATAATCAATGCTTGTTCAATAAATCGATTGATTTGTTAATGTCTTTAAAAATTAACCATTCATCTACGTAGCGATTGGCCGAATCAATGACCAGAAACCTGTGATGAGTTGGAATATTTCATGGAAGAGAGGGGAAGCTACACATCATCACATTAATAACCCCGATTCATTCACTCTGCAAAGTAAAATTGAATGCCGTCCGTGTAAAAGTATACTCCCTCAGTCTTTCTTATGACATTAAAATATCAGTTCTGGATAAGAAGAGGATAATTCTTTTATACCTCAAGGCATAACTTCTATCATTTAAATATACTGGACTATAAACAATCACATGGATGTGTACTCAATCTATGTTGTGTTTGTTGTCTGCTGAGAATGCGGTAAGAAGGATGGCCAACTTGCAAACAACAGTGAACGGCTGTACACTATTACGTAACATTACACGATCACATTGGCATTTTTTTTTACATATTCTACCTTTTTCTCCAATTTCTTGGTGATTTTATATTCACGTTAATGTGTATATTGATAACTATCTACCGGCGTCATGTGTTTGTGTCTATGTTTGTATGAACGTATTGGCACACAGGTTTTCTCCACGTACGGTGTGTTTTTGTTGTAGAATGTAAATGCAACATGTTTGTAGTTACTTTGTGGTATGATATATTTGTAAAATATCTTTATACCATTCCGTTTTCGTCAAACGTGAGTATTACATATGGATAGTGTACATGTACTAAAGATAATAAGTAGGTGACAAAAATCACCGGTGAAAGATTTTCAAAGTGAATCATACATAAAACCTTTTAAACAATGTGTGTAACTACAATGTCGCAATCCCGAGAAAATTATTTAGTTTAAAATATGAGGGGTTTTTTTATTAATAAAATCTATACATCACAAAATTATGCAAAAATGTTCAACATAATAATGGCTTCCAAGACACGAAAAGGACAGATGTGTTCAATCATGAATAGTTTTTTTTATTAATTACATTCAATTTTTTCGAAATTAAATCTAACGTTATTCTCAAACTACGTTTGCAGGCAATACCACAATAAGTAATTAATAAAATAAGATGTTTCAACATCACTGAGTGAAATAAGAAAAAATGCATTCTTTATTTCGAAATGTTCTTTTGAGTTACCTCCCATCTTTGAAAATTAGGGGAAAATTGAAAAAAATAGTGCACTCGGCAGGCACGAACCAGAATATTGCTATTATGGTATCAGAAACCTATAATATTTATTTATATGATATTTATAAGTCACCGTTATATCATGACATCATCAATCGTACAGTTATTAACAACCTTAGTGATGTCATCTATTGTATATGATCGTCGTATGTTTCATGCTGTTAACAAGTATATCGATCACATGAAAATCAGTGAGAACATGTAATTGACAAACCAATAACCTGAAATGTCTGCCTTGGACATCCTTCTTTGACACGAATACATGTAGAACAAAAGTTGTCACTAGTGTTTATAAATGTATGAAACAAAGGTATGCAAAATAATTAATGAATGTAAAACCAACTGTTTGCAAATTATTCCAAAAGGGAAAAGTTCATCACACTTTAACTGTAAGTCGATGAATGTCATTTGCTCATTGATTTGCAAACAGTGTGAAGAAGTTTTTTTATCTGAAAATCTTGTGTATATAAACAACAAACGAAAGACGAGGAGTTCAGATATCTAAAATTTTAATGCATTACTTTTCTATATTGTAAACAGTGATGATCCGATTGCAATAAAATTTAATAACAAGCGTTTTTATAATACCAAAGTCCAATTTTATAACCAGTACTGATTTAATACTGAGTACACAGATCAATGTTTACATCATCAGCTTCAACTTCAGTATCATAACGGGTTTTTTGTTTTTATTTGTAATACCTATATATTATTGATGAGAAGAGGACCTTCAATGACATCCTCAGTGAAATAGAATTATGTAAACATCATGTTACCATTTTCATTAAAAGCATTTGATTACAGAAGATTGAATAGCGATATGTAAATATGAAGTTCTTCTATTATTTTCAAATATCAGATCAGGATAAATTTATGAACAAAGACTTAGTTCTCAAAGTCTTCATTTTGAGGTCAATTAAGAGTATAACCAGAGGTTGTAGTCAATCAATGAATGCTATGTTCTTTTTAAAAATATTATACATATATTTTTCAGTTTCTTATGCTTCAGGTATAGATGTCATTTCTAAGGTATTAATACATTTTGATAGTATTAAAGACAAAACAACTGTCACTCTATCACGAATAGTTAGACTTCTCTATGATCGCTCCCTCATTCAGTCCGAATTATTCTGACGTTTTATCGACTTTTTTATACCGGTCTATCGTCGACGTTAATCGACGATAGACCGATATAAAAAGGAAAAAAGTCGATAAAACGTCAGAATAATTCGGACTCTCCCTCATTATGTTGTATATAGAGAACATTAAAACGCGCCATTATAAAGTATTACATAAATGGTGATTGATGGGAGCATAGATAAACGCCCACAACCAAACCATCGTCCTTTAATAACTTTACATTAATGGCTTCAGATTTAGCAGCAGACATTTCCCAAAAAGGACAGAATAACTCTGACTATTATCGTTTAATTTTACACAAGAAGAATACTTTTGAAACACACCAACTGATTCATTTTTGGGTTCTTGCGATTCGATTTTGATTGCTATATTATTTACCTAAGATAATGGATATCCAACACATCGCAAGCAATTGTGTATTTTCGCATTATAGTGTTTCTATAACTCAGTCTTGACGTTGTTCTTGATTTTGTTCGGTATATCTTGTAACAGGAACTTCATCCTTTTCTCGAATAAGTTTTGTCCCGGTACTGGCTGATACTTCAACTCTAAATAGTCCCGGTCGTAAGAACTGAACGCTTTCCATTGGACCAGGCCATTTCCGTTTGGATTCCTGTGTCAAATTAATTATGTATGTTCAAGCGTAGTATATATTGATTAAAAAAACACAGAATTTATAAAAAAAAAAAATACCTTACATTACCTGTATTAAAAAAAGACATTAACAGGTCAACATCGACCAACATATAATAACAAAAATTGTAGTGGGTTGGTGGCTGCAACAATGCATTGCCGCAAAGAAAGAGTGCCCGCTTTAATAATTAGTTGGACCATAACCGAAAGACTTTGGTCATTATGAACTGGGATTTCATTTTTAGATTAGTTCCTGCACAGAAAAATGATTTCAATCTTCCTTCCTCTGACGAGACCTTAGTCCCGACGAATGGGACCTCGTATGACGTCAGTTCTTATTGATCAATCTGTAATTCTGCTAAGCTACCAGGATGAGGAAGAGAATATTAGATGGGACTCAAGTCATAACAATAACGTAACCCTAGACTTGAAAAAACAACAGGATAATATACACAAATTTGGAAGAGTTAAGCAGAATCATAGAATTGGTATTGACAGAAGCATTGGAACAATAACTTATCTAAGCAGAATATTCTGATGTAAACAACAATAAAACGCTACTTACCCTGTTTTAGCAAAGTTTGTCCAATAAGTGACGAGAATGTCGGTAAATGCTCTCTCTTTGTCAGAAGACAAGGATTCATCCATTTCATTCATACCAGTGGGGCCGAACATATAAACCAGTTCGGTCGCGTGCCCTGCTCCTTCCATCCACGGATATTCGGGAATGACAAAAGGAAACTTCAATCCCAGCGTATATAAGTATTGATATGTGTTTGGAGATGCCTTGCCCTTTGCATGGAAGTCAAGCAGTTGTACCGTAGGTGCTACAAAACATACATCCTCATACACAATAGCGATATTTCGTGCTTGTTGCTCCAAGTTGTCTGCAGAATATTCTTTGCAGAGTAAATCTGAGGCGATTGTTTCGTCATTGAACATCTCCTTGGCTACTGTTGGTGCAAAAACGTCGCATAAAACAGAGGTAGGTATGCCATCAGTAAGATTGAATTCCATTGGCTCCTGAAGTCCAATCAGAAGGATTGATAATAAAGATCCTTCGTTGTCTGTTGTACCTGCCAGCATGTCTAAAGATCTAAAGTAAATAGATTCATCCGACTTAGGATCATTCAAACTGTCCAAAGGTGACCTTAAAAGTAATTCGCCGTCAATAGAAGGCCAAGCAACTGGTGAAAGAGAAAAATGACCAAAATATAGAGTTCCTGGGTCTGACTGAGCCTTTAATAGTTCTTCAGAAGTCTTCCCCTTCAGGCAATCTACAAAGTTTTTGTTTTCGATATCTTTGTTTTCGTCAGTAATGCATCCAACGAATTTCCCTGTAGCTTTAGCAGCTCTTGCAGGATTTAATGCTATACCCAATAATCCAATAGCAGATCCGCTTTGGGGAATTATCCGTTTAAATAGACCAGAAGTACTCGGAATCATAGCCAGGTATGATACAGCGAAGCCGCCGGCAGATTCACCGAAAATGGTGACCGATTCAGGATCGCCTCCGAATGATGCAATGTTCTTATTTACCCACTTCAGAGCTTCAATCATATCCCAAAGTCCAAAATTACTGGGTAGTGCATCATCCTCTGTGCTAAGGAAGCCAAATATTCCTAGACGGTAGTTAATGGTTACCACTATGACGTCTTTCAGGGCAAGGAATGACGCGTCATAACCCCAACTATTTCCCGTAACAAACGCCCCACCATGAATCCAAAACATGACCGGTTTCTTAACTTCAGTCGAAACAGGTCCAGGTACATAAATATTTAGTTGTAAACAGTCCTCACTTACTCTAGTATTTACTGCATTCTTCCACATTTCTGGAAATTGAGATATATCCTGCATACAGGAAGGGCCAAAGGCAGTTCCGTCAAGTGTTTCGGTCCAAGGTTCTACCGGAAGTGTTTTCTCGAATCTAAGGTTGCCAACTGGAGGTTTTGCGTATGGAATGTTCCGGAACTGCACGACGTCCTTCCCGAGTGTGTGAACTGCTATGCCTTTGATCGGTCCGGAAGGAGTGTTTACTGTCGGAAAGGACTGGCATGACGTGTACACTATAATGGCGGACTGCAGCCAAACATATACTAGGGCGTGTGGTCTCATCCTGCTATTTTAACTGAAAATTTTGACAATAGCGTAAAATTTTCATCAGGGTTTTCTTATAAATAAATGTCTAAGATAAGGTACGATTACAGAACTCCTCTAAGTCGGCAGGAATCATTTATGAGTGTTTCAGGTTGTGCCGACTCTTATACTAACCCTCTAGGGCGTGAAATAGTCCTAGATTAGTATGACAGCGGAGGGGGCTAAATATATGCGTGTTTATGGTGTAGTCAAACCTGTTATCTATAATATCAAATCAGAATGGAAACATTGTCTTAAAAGTTAAGGTGAACTCTGAGACAGATTTGACTGTAGTTACAGACAGATTAGACAGGTGATCAATGAGACAGCTTTGACTGTAGCTACAGACAGATTAGCTCTGATGTAGGTTAGCCCTGCAGGCTCGAGAAAGAAGAGTGGGTGTTTTTTGTTTTTTTGTTTTGTTTAGGGGACAATCAAGAAACCAAATTTGATCTACTACCCGATTGCAAAACTTTAAATTTATATCTCTTCTTTTAACTATCCTGATATATTTTTTAAGAGTTTGTCTCCCTAGACACCCGTAGGTCCTAAGCTGTTGCGAAGACGTTTCCAAGAAATCTAACATAAGTTTGATTATTGTTGTTAACAGCTAGTAGCTATAGAGGATAGCGTCTGAGACACGCTTTGTTGTTAACAGATAGTATCTATAGAGGATAGTGTCTGAGACACGCTTTGTTGTTAACAGGTAGTAGCTATAGAGGATAGTGGTGTCTGAGACACGCTCTGTTGTTAACAGGTAGTAGCTATAGAGGAAAGTGTCTGAGACACGCTTTGTTGTCAACAGGTAGAAGCTATAGAGGATAGTGTCTGAGACACGCTTTGTTGTTAACAGGTAGTAGCTATAGAGGATAGTGTCTGAGACACGTTTTGTTGTTAACAGGTAGTAGCTGTAGAGGATAGTGCCTGAGACACGTTTTGTTGTTAACAGGTAGTAGCTATAGATGATAGTGTCTGAGACACGTTTTGTTGTTAACAGGTAGTAGCTATAGAGGATAGTGTCTGAGACACGCTTTGTTGTTATCAGGTAGTAGCTATAGAGGAAAGTGTCTGAGACACGCTTTGTTGTTAATAGGTAGTAGCTATAAAGGATAGTGGTGTCTGAGAAACGTTTTGTTGTTAACAGGTAGTAGCTATAGAGGATAGTGTCTGAGACACGCTTTGTTGTTAACAGGTAGTAGCTATAGAGGATAGTGTCTGAGAAATGTTTTGACAAGTTACAGATAAATGGTTAGCAATGCAGCCTTGATAACCTTTTGTAAATTCTACAACATCATCTAGGGTTGGATTTTAATGTTTAAGCGATATTTGCTCCTATTTGCGGTGTGTATCAACAACGATGTTTCCGTAAATAGTTCATTGTGTTATCTATTAAAACAAGTGACAGTCCAAATATTGACACAGTGTAAAATGTAGTCCTAGATACTGACCCGCTGAAATTAAATGACAGACTAGTATGAGTCTAGTCTGGTGTTATACAAAGCTTCCAGATTTTACTCTTGGGATAAATTAGCTACATCATTCCCAACTCCGTTCTTTATGTAACAGTTTGTAAGTCTGACCTACCCACGAAACTCCCTATACACACACATGAATTCCACCTTTACACTTTTACACTTTGGTAATAGGTATATTATACAAACAATGAATTACACTGTACCAGACAGGCGTTTCGTCCTTTTACGACTCATGGGTGATACTAGGGTCCAAATAAGTCGGATCCAAAGTAATACTGCAGATAAAAAAATACTTTCAGTATTAAGCAACTTTTTATTCATTTGCTTACTTTTACTATAAAAATATACATCGTTTATTTTTATTTGACACTCGATGCAATTAAAATGTCGCGTGTAACCTTTATATTAGTAATTATTGTAATATTCTGTGGTAAAACTGAGGCTTGCAAGATATCGAATGATCAGGTCATATGACATGTAATCTGTACAAAACGTCCAAGCTAAGTTAATAGTGTCCCTTGTTACTTATATTTTGGTGACATAACAGTGCTGACCGTTCAGGATGGATGTGTGTTGCATTCATAATACTATTTTGGAGTGAATCTGTATCATAAATACTCAACTTTAATCAACGTACCTGGTAGAGAAGCTGAGGAGAAGTTTCCAGGTTGGTACGCGGGTCGAATGAACCGACTAACGGTCTAACGTCTGGAGTGCTTTATCAACAATTTAGGGGTGACGTTTCATTGGTTTATCTCGTATGTCAGACGATGACCCCATTATGACCAGCCGTGTTGATATAAAAGGTATAAATGATGTTTCATGTAAATCATGAACTGTCTCTTCTCTCTCTCATAAGATGACGTTGATACGTAGAACCACGGAATTAGATTATCCAAGTCCGTGGTAGAATGAACGTATTGAGGATATCCAGGTTAATTAGAATTGGTAAATTACGTATAAACGTACATTTTTCATTAAAACTCGTTATAAGAAATAAAGTTTATATTCTGTTAGCAAGTCTTCTTATCAATGTTATATACATGTACGTACTAAAAATGTATTTAGTCATGAGCGCTGAATTTCTATCTGTATAGCGGTATACCGCCAAATGTATATATAGTATGCTTACATACATGTTTACTGATATATGGTTTGAATAGTCATTTTATGGTTGTAAATCCCAAACATATTGAGTATCAAGTCTATACTATTTCACGTGTCCTAGTGCACACGTATGATGCTACACCATTTTAAATAGTCACTAAAATGGTTATTTTGAACATAAAATATGTATGCAGGATGACTAGTCAATCTAATATTTGTTTTCTTAACAATAATCATAATAATTGAAAGTCAAACTAATTTTCTGACTTATCAACAACTTTGCACCCAGATATTGTGAAGTTCCTTTCAAAGCCTCTTATCGCCTGATTGTCAGAAAAGTAAGCAAGTCGATATTCTTGGTCACCATATGCGTAAAATTGAAACTTTATACATGTACACGATATAAATAGGCCTTATTCGATGTTCCCGAAATCATGCTGTGACAGCTGATCTTGTTGTCCTTAGTCACGTGTTGTAATTATGATGTCCTTTTATGTGTGTACTTATGTTTTTCTGTTAATTTCAAATTGTCTGTATGTATGTAATACAGTAACGCTGGTCTGTTTGTACTCTCCCCCTGCCTTGATTGAACTTTGTAATGAAAAATACTTCTTAATATATGTATGTACCACGTGTCTCATCCCCCACCTGTTACAAATCATAATATTTGATAAAAGATAGATTCAAAGAATTTCAATCTAATAATGGGGCACATTGGAAATCGGAGATTAATTGTTTTCTCCTTCATTCATTTGTCTTAATTAATGCCATTTCGAATTCCAAGTATGTTTTTAGCCTCAAAAATGTATATATTCACATTATAATTCATATTTTGTTGTTGATTTCTAATGACATTGAACTTAATCCGGGGCCACTATGCAGTCTTGATATTGCTCACCTAAATGTTAGATCATTAAGAAATAAAATTGAAACTATAAAAGCTGAATTAAATAATAATGATATAATATGTCTAACAGAAACTCATCTTTCTCCTGAAGTATTAGATTCTGATATCACCATAGATTCCTACTCACATGACAGACTGGACCAAAGATCAGGCCCTGGTGGTGGAGTACTAATTTATCACAAGAACACTATTTTTACTAAAAGACGAACAGACTTGAAACATAATGATGTAGAGTTAATTTGGGTTGAAGTATGTATTGAGTCTCGTAAATTCTTACTATGTTGTATTTATAGACCAGAAATGCCTGAAACTTATTGGGAAACACTAGACTTTGTATTTGAGAGAGCTATAAATACTAATCTAAATATAGTCATAACAGGTGATATCAATGTAAACATGATCAACTTACAACCGTATAGTCATCTTGGTAGACTAATGACCAAATATAATCTTGTAAACAAAGTTTATGAACCCACACGCATACCTCAAACATCTTCCACCTCATTAGATATTGTTTTCTCAAATAGTTTCAACTTAATTAAAAATGTTAAAAATGTATCTGTTTCTCCACCCATTTGTAGTGACCACTCTCCTATTCAATTCAGTATCACATTTGATGTCTTTAAACAAATATCTTATCAGAAAAAAATATTACTCTGTCAGGAAACAGATTATGAAAAAATGAATAGGAACATAAATATGATTGATTGGGTTACAATCTCAGAATTTCAAGATAGTAATGAATTTTATAATACTCTTTGTAATGATATTAATCAACCAAAAATCTGAATGTATTCCTATTATAAATGTTACAGTAAGGCGTAGAGATATAAAGTGGATGACAAATGAAATTAGATTTAAAATTAGACAAAGAAATAGGGCACAGAGAAAAGCAAAGTTAAATAACTTACCAACCATGACATTGGGAAAACTACAGACATATCAGGAACGAAGTCATTAATAAAATAAGAGAGGCCAAGAATAATTATATTGAAAATATGCAAAAATCATAAGCTAATACAAATATTTCTCAAGTAGTTGGAGGAAAATTGCAAAAAAAAATGTTTTAAATGCAAATAATAAAAGTAACTTCAATGTGATGAATGTATCATTCAACATCCATTTGATAAAGCTGAACATCTTAATAAGTATTTTACTTCTATATCTAAAACTTCTGAGAATCTTGAACCCATTCCTGATATTGAAATTAACTGTCCCCACTCTTTGGAAAACATAACAATAACGCATCAAGATGGCCATGACCAATTGTTTCTCCTAAATAGTAATAAACCAGCTGGACCCGATGGCATGGTACCTTATATAATAAAATCAACTTAAACATTCTATTTCTCTTCCTTTAATATTGTTTTTTAACAAAACACTACAAACAGGAGTTATCCTCCTTAGTTGGAAAACTGCTAATGTTAATGCCATTTATAAAGGAAAAGGTTTAACAAATGAAATCTAATTATAGACCAATTTCTATTACTTCATGTT